AAACCCTAAACCCTAAACCCTAAACCCTAAACCCTAAACCCTAAACCCTAAACCCTAAACCCTAAACCCTAAACCCTACCTAAACCCTAAACCCTAAACCCTAAACCCTAAACCCTAAACCCTAAACCCTAAACCCTAAACCCTAAACCCTAAACCCTAAACCCTAAACCCTAAACCCACCCACTCTTCCCAGGCTGCCGGCCTTCGACTCCCAAAGGTTGGAGTCGCCAAGGAGCCCTGCACCGTCGGTGTGAGAAAAGCGTGCAGGAGTAGCCAGGGTTTAGGGTTTATGGTTTAGGGTTTAGGGTTTAGGGTTCAGCATTCAGGGTTCAGGGTTCAGGGTTCAGGGTTTAGGGTTTAGGGTTTAGGGTTTAGGGGCTTGGTGCAATTCTGGATAGGCCCGCGGGGTACTGAGATCTTGCCCTTATCATGTTGAGGAATTCTGCTCAGAGGGAGGTTTTAGTTTTAGGGCCAACCTAGAACTGTTACAGGGCAGTTATAGTGCTTGTTCGGCTTGATGGAGGAATTTAGTGTATGATCTAAGAAACGCCGGTTTTGTCGATGGGTTCTGTCAGGCGTCTGCATGTTCAAAAATAGGGGGTTCATGTGCGAGATGCTACATGCAGAGCATCCGAGGATGAGCCTTCAGGGATGGTACCTAGTAAGAGTTGAGCCTTTTTCTGCGGCATCGGCCTGCCTTTTTTGGACATTCCTGGCTCTGGCATAAGTCTTGGGAGCCCCAGCAAGTGAGTCGCCACAGTTCCTCCGTCTTCCTAACCATGTGGCAAGCTGGTGGCCCCTTGGCTGCAATCGGAGGCACCGTCTGGCCGCATCAGCTGTCATTGTCCAGTGCCCTTGTAGTTTAGGGTTTAGGGCTTAGGATTTCGGATGCAGGGTTTAGGGTTTAGGGTTATCAGATCCTGAAAAATCCCCAACGCCCTTCACTTACAGACCCCAAAGCCCTTCCGGAGGCCCAGTGGCCCGCCGATTGTGGCAACGCCATGCTACGGGCAGCGTGCGCGGCGTTTCAGGCGCTCCTCGGGAAGGTTGTCTTGGGGTGCTCCAAATGGTGGGCTCAGGGGTTGCTTAGGGGCTGTTTCAATGTTAGGGGTTGGGAGTTAGGGTGTCCCAAGAGAGGCTCTAGTATAAGAGGTAGCCTTCATGGGGCTACATGAGGGCCAGGGGTCTATGCAGGGCTTGGGTGAGTTTAAGGATTCGGACTAAGCACAGATATCCCACCACCGATGCCGCCCTGCACAGCTGTGAAGGTGTCATTGTCGGGGGAGGCGTCACAGGCTGTGCCATGCTCTACAACCTTGCACAGCGGGGCGTCAAGTGCGTCCTTTTTGAAAAGGCGCGGGGGGCTCTTGCAAAGAAATTCTACATGGGTTGGGATGTTCCCCCTTATACTAGCAGTCGTTAATCGGGATTGCAATAGGGGCACTATCATCCCTATTAAGGACTGTTAGAACAAGGGAGAGCGTCCTAATGAGTGGGTTTTGTCGCGGAACATGTGCGAAATTGTTTGTTAGCCAGGGTTCTGGGTAACATAGGGGTCGAAGGGTATTCCCTCATGGTCCCTCTACAATTATACTGTAATTCCTCCCAACACCTTTTTCTAATTATTGAGGCCCCTGGTATTTTTCCCCTGCCAGGGCGAGCTAACCTGTGGAGCCACGTGGCATGCAGCGGGTTTGGTGACCCGCTTCCATGGGGGCAACAACTTTCGCCTGTGGCATGATGAGGGCGTGAACCTCTTCACCCAGTGGCAGAATGAAGGCGGGCACTTTTATTCTAGACATCTTTGGCTTGAACAGATACGGGCTTGGGGGGTTTGTTCTCAGCTTCCGTCTCTCTCTGTCTCTATATATGTATGTATATATATATATAGATATATATTCTAAAAAATATGTTGATATACCCAAACCTGAAGTCTTTTGAAGCAACTCTTCGGTCCCCAATTGTGAAGTCCTCTAGAGGTGGTCGCCCTGAGCCCAAAAAGCAAGCCTTCGAACAAAAGTCAGGGTTTAGGGTTTCGGTTTTAGGGTTTTGGGGTTTAGGGTTTATGCTTCGCCCCCGGAGGCACCCCCCTGAGCTTTCACACGCCGGGCTCGATCCGACTGATCCCCGATGAGCCGCGCGTCTTGCAACTGGTACTTGGAGGTTCATATGGGCACTTAGAAGTAGGGTTATTAGTGATAAGTATGGTAGCTATGGTTACTTATAACCCTACCTATAGGTGCGCATGAACCTCCAAGTAGGGGGAGCTGTGCATGAACATAGGGCCACTGCATGAAGAGGCCGAACGCAGCGCTGGAGAAGCGCTTCTGTGACGTGAGTAGATTGAGTGAGTGAGGGCCGTTCTGCCCTAAGCCCTAAACCCTAAACCTCAAACCGCAAACCCTAAACCCTAAACCCTAAACCCTAAACCCTAAACCCTAAAACGCATCATAGTCTAGGAGTCTGGCATGCAGTCAGCTCAGGCAGTCTTACATCGAAGAGGCAAAATGAGGGCAGGGCATGTGGGCCTGGCGGACGATGCGCTTTCTGGTTTAGGGTTTTGCGTCCTTGGCGTTTTTCAGTTAGCATGTTTGAGCAGACTGGCCCAGCTTCTTGTATCGTTCAGCATCTCAGAAGTCCTTGTACGGGTTTGTTCCAATAACGTAATTCAAGCTGCAGGACGCGCTCAAGCCCCAAACCCCAGGCTCCAAATGCCAAGTCGAAAAGTCCCGAAAGACCGAAAGCTTAGGTTCAGCTGGAATGCTGTGTGGTTCTGAGAAGTAAAGCCGCTACGGAGGTATTTTAGGGCTTGGAGGCTTTGGGTTAGGATCGTGGGTCTGTAGCCTTGAAGGCTTCAACTCTTGAAGGTTTTAGGGCTTTGGGCTGCAGCCTTGAAGGCTGAAGTGTTTAGGGTTTAGGGTTTAGGGTTTCAGATTTGTAATGGGGCGTGCTTATCATTTTGTTACCTTCGAACCAGTTTGTACTCTAGAGTTTGAGCTGCATTTAGCTCATTTGCGAGTCACATTCCTAACGGGAACTCAACGCTATGGCACATGAAGATCCCTACTTGGAGGTTCATGGGCGCTTACAAGTAGGGTTAGAAGTACCCCAAAAAACACGGTACTAACCATAGTTCCCATACTTCTAACCCTTCTCATAAGTGCCCATGAACCTCCAAGTATAGGCCCAAAAAGCCCCTTGAGCTGCCCCTTCAAAACCCTGGAAGAGGCCAGATACCAAGTGGGGAAAGCGAAGATCTTCTCCTCACTCTTCGGATGCGCCGAGCACCACATGATCTCGCCCGACGAGATCAAGGCCCCAGGGCTCTGGGACCCAAAGTTGGCCCTGAGGCCCCCACTTTTTCAGGGGTTTAGGGTTTGGGGTTTAGGGTTTCGGGTTTCGGGTTTAGGGTTTAGGGCTTACATGTCGGGGTTTAGGGTTTAGGGTTCTGACTCCCAAGCCCTAAAATCTGAGAAGCCTTTTGATATTCCTGGGTTGTTGTTCAGGTATTCTGGGCCCAGGGCGTTACCCCCGCCCTCGCAGCCCTATTATGTAGATTCTGGGCATGGGTCAATCGCAGGGATGCTTGTTTAGGATTTAGGGTTTCGGGTTTGGGGTTTATAGGGTTCAGGATGGGTATATGGGTTTGCGGTTTGGGCATGCTTGGGGCTTCGGAACTTTGTGCTTAGGGACTTGGGGTGCCGTCGGAGGCTTGAGGGTAGTGCTAAACCCTAAACCCTAAACCCTAAACCCTAAACCCTAAACCCTAAACCCTAAACCCTAAACCCTAAACCCTAAACCCTAAACCCTGCAGGAGAGGCATCCCTTGGTGAACCTCGACGACACTGGGATCTATGCCGGCATCCTCACCGAGGGGGATGGCCACATCGACCCCAGCAGCGTGACGAACGCCTTCGCAGACCGGGCAAAAGGCCCCCGAGGGTGTAGGGTTTAGGGTTTAGGCTTCGGGGTTTAGGATTTGGGGTTTAGGGTTTAGTGCCAACGTAGAAGGGTACTGTAGGTGTCGGAATAATTACTAGTACTATTCCCTTATGGTCCCTATATCTGGCTAGGCTTTATTATTCCCTTTTTAGGGTGTAGGTTCCCTGTTTTTCCCCATGAAACCAAACAGGGCGCCCTTTTCATTCCTAGGCTACTCTTGGTTCCAGCTTAGGGTGCAAAGTGAGAGGGTCAGCTTGGGCCAGAAGTAGCGGATCGACAACCATACTGAGCAAGAGGGGGCAAACTTGCGACAGGATTCCTTTTTGGATTTTGGGACCCTTCTGCTGCCCAGGTTCGAGGTCCAGGAGTTTTGGGTGTCCTTGGATGTTTTTCTTTCTTTCCCTTTGTGCTTCTGGGTTACCGAGAATTAGGAGGACTGGACAAGCTTGCCGCAGCTGTTGGAGGTACCGGAATCCAGACTCCCCGCAGGGGCCTAGACTTGAAGGGGTATAAGGAGGGACCTCTGGAAGGGACCCTTAATCTTATCCCTATATAACCCCCATTTTTACCGAAGCCCCTAAGGTCCCTTGTAAGGGGCCCTCCTTTAGTCCCTTGAAGACTCCTCGACCCTAAACCCTAAACCCTAAACCCTAAACCCTAAACCCTAAACCTTGTAGGCCCTTGATTCCTGCACCCTGAATCACCTGCAAACCCCGAAGATCCACCATGGAGGCCTTGGTGGCATCATCGAGCAGAAGACCGAGGTGACATCCTTGTGTGGCGTTTAGGGTTTGGGGTTTAGGGCTAAGGGTATAGGGTATAGCACAGGGTTTAGGGTTTTGGGATTGTGTACGGTGTAGGGGGTATGAGTTTAAGGTTCCGCCTCCTGGGTTTGGGGCTCCGGGCCTATATTGTTCTAGGGTTTCGGCTCAGAGCAGCTCTCTGCGTTGTCCTTTTTGGGGGCTGCAACCCCAAGACGCTACGCCCTTCGCCACTAACATGTCCACTCCAAAACCTTCTTCCAAGCCCTGAACCCCGAAGCCCTGAGCCCGGAATCCTGAAGCCCTTAAGCCTTGGAATGTTCCCCCTTGTACTGACAGTCCTTAATAGGGATTATCGTCCCTAACAGTCCTTCTTTCAGGGGGCAAGACAATCCCTCTTAAGGACTGTTAGTTTCGGGGGAACATCCCAACCTAAGCCCTAGAAAGGTGGTGGCGCTGAACCTGCTCCCTAGCAAGCAGTGGGAAGTCATCACCCGCACGGCTGCAGGAGGGGAGGGGGAAGCTATGGGGGTTTTTGTGCACAGGGCTCTGGTTTTGTTTGGAAATTAGGTATTCCGTTTTCTCTAGCTGTCGCCTCCTTTCTCCCGGTCGAGCATTTGTTTGTGGCTTTTGCAGTGAGGGTTCAAAGTCAGAAGAATCCCATCGACCTTGTTTTTGGGGAGGTTTAGGGTTCAGGTTCCAAGTTTGAGGCTATGAAAAGTTCGAGTTTTGGTCCTCTCCCCCTCTCCCCCCCCATGGTCCCAAACCTGTGCCAGGTGAGGAGAAGCGCACAGTGGCCGACTTTGTGATCAACGCGGCGGGCCTGTGGTGTGACCCTGCACCGAGAAAGATTGTTCGGCAGCCCCGCCCCTTAAGGCCGCAACCCCCTGTTGACATATCTGTACAGTCCAAAGCATGTTGACAGCGAAGTTCGCGGTTGTCATATGCACAATTGCAGTGCTCGCTCAGGCCTTCAAAAGGGCCCTTTCGATGTCTGTAGCTTGTTTAGCAACGCATCGGGTTCCGTTGTTTCTGGACAGCAATGCAACCTCCTGTGCCCTCAACTCTGCAGCCTAAACCCTAAACCCTAAACCCTAAACCCTAAACCCTAAACCCTAAACCCTAAACCCTAAACCCTCAACCCTAAACCCTCAACCCTAAACCCTCAACCCTAAAACCCTAAACCCTAAAACCCTGAAAACCCCCAAACCGCTGAGGTGACAAAGTCGGCGCCATGGCTGGTGTGCGCGTGCCCTCGGTCGTGCTACAGCACCAGTGCCTCGTCGCAGTAGGCCCTTGAGGGTACCCTACAGAATCCCGAAGAAGGGTATTCTATATGTATATATATATATATATAAACCCTTATTGAGGGTATTGTCGGATTTGGGCTGAAAAGAGTATGGTATGGGGCTTAGGGTTTCATACACTTTCCTTTCTTGAGGGGAGGCTGGGGTGGGGAGAGGGGGGGGGTTAGGGCTCAGGATGCTGCGTCCATACTTGCATGTTGGTTTGCACATGCCTGCAAGTTTGCACTGCTTTTCAAGACAGCATGAAGGTTCATGATCCTCGTTCGTGAGGGTCCGGCGGTGGGCACAGAGTGTTCTTTTCTGCAGGTTACCTCTGGTCGATTGGCACCTGAGGTACTGCATTACCGAGGCCATCCCGGAAGTGAAGGACCACGCAGTCGTGGGAATTACAGGGTTCTGTGGACTTGGTTTGAGGCGGCCTCCTTGTGTCCTATTGCCCTTGAGGAGTCTGTACGTGCAGTGGCACAGGGCAAAGCTGCTTTTTTGTTGTTGGCAGAGGGCTGGTGATGTGTTCTGGGCCCTGCGCTGGCAGGAATATCATGACAAGCATGGTCACCAGCTACCTGTGCTCCGGGATTTGAAGGGCTCCTTCTACTTGCGAGACGAGCGGGATGGCATTCTGCGCCTCGGATTGCATAGCAAGAGCCAATGTTCGTGTGTCCTGGAGTTTACATTTTTTTAAGGGTCATTGAGGGTTCGGGGGCCCGGGTTGTGGGGCACACGGTTTAGGTCTTAGGGGGTTGTTGCAGTTTCTTCGGGAGTCCGGTTCCAGCCCTCACCCCCGCCCCACGATAAGGAAAGCAAAAAGAGCAACGCTCAACAAGAAGAAGAGATACACCACCACAGCAAGTGCATTAACGGCGGTTTGTGCAAGACACCCTCGCGCAAGACCCCCTCGGCTGGCCCAACTCAGACCCTCTCACCCCTCCGCAAGAGTCTGGAACATTGTACGCTGCAACAGAATTTAAGAGATGTACAAACACAAAAAGCTTTATATGTATTCAAATATATATATATATATATATATGTATATATATATATAGATGTACCTAGCATATATGTGTATGTCATATATGTATATGCATCTACATATATATATATATATAGAGATTTTATGTATTTTTCTTTGCATTTATTCATTTAGGTTTATGTCTACGTACATACACACAGTGCAATCTGATTGTTGCGCTCCCCCCCCAGGATCGGCCCCTACGAGTACTCCGAGGCCATGGAGTTGGCTCCCACGGAGTGGCGCGAGACGGGCATGCCCAATGAGCCAGGGGCTTGGACTGGGAATGCCACCCTTTTGGTTTAGGGTATGTTTAGGGCTTAGGGTTTAGGGTTTAGGGTTTAGGGTTAGAGGGTTTAGGCGTTTAGGGTTTGGGATGTTGTGGTGTTGTGGTGTTGCGGTGTTGGGCTGTTAGGGAGTTAGATTCCCACACAAAAGGCCTGTACATAAACAGCACAGTCGTAGTGACAAGAGCATCAGGAGCTGCAGCTGCGATCAGGTACGCCAACTTCCTCTTCGAGGGCGACGTGGAGCGGCTGATGCCTCACCTGGAGCGTGCCATGGAGATCGTGCCGCAGTTTGGGGAAGTAGGCCAGGCGGCCTCCCAAACAGTCACCGTGCCGTCATCTTCCTGTCTGCGGCTAGCCGTAACATCACTACTTGGAGATTCCTGGGTAGTTAGAAGTAGGGCTACAAAGCGCCCTAATTCAGGGCATTTTTAGACGTTATACCTTACTTCAGACCCTACCTTAGAGCTACAAAAATGAGCCTGGAAGGCATGAAGACCGTGCTGAACGGACCGACGATGTGGCCCGCGGATGGCAACCACCTCGTCGGCCCTGCACCCGAGTGGGACGTGGCACCCAACTTTTGGCTGGCATGCGCGGAGTCTGGGGCCCAGACCTTACCTGAAGTATACAATATACAATTCTAATAATAATAGAAACAATAATAATAATAGTAATAATAATAATAGTAATAGTAATAATAATTATAATGGTAACAGTAATAATACAAGTAAGAAGAATAAACATAATAGATGTTACCTTGCTTAGAACCATGGACCTACAAGTAAGTGTCCTTCATGGGACTCGATGGGTGCCCACAGGTCCTAGAAGCTAGGGAACCTATATTTTTAATTGTTGCTACTATTATTATTTTTGAAGTTGACGTACAGTCCGTTCACGGTATGGCCTCGAAAAACTATTATTCTCCTTCAGGTCCTACGGCATCGCGCACAGCGCCGGGCTCAGCCGCTACCTCTCCGAATGGATTGCCAACGGGGAGCCGCCCTACGAGCCCCGGCTTGCCAGCAGCGATACGGTTGCTTTGATGCCGCCTACCTTGTACAAGTTTAGGGTTTAGGGCTTATAGGGTGTAGGGTTCAGGTTGCGCGGTTTATGAGATTACCAGGATTGGGATTTCAGAGGGGTTGGGCAAGGTCGCACATCACCATTCCATGGTTTCAGACTGAGTCTACTTGTCTACTGGGGATTCCTGGAAGATGCCCAAAATCCTACGGCCGAGGTGCCTAACACCTCCATGAAGGCGCACAGTAACTCAATCTCCCCCTACATCCTGAACCTCGAACCCCCTTGACCCTCAACGTGCCTGAAAAGCCCAACCGCAAGTCCCCCCCCCCCCTCCCCATTCCCAGTTTTTTTTTTTGAGAGGTTCCTGAATCCCTTCCCCCAAACATGAACCTCCCTTCTCCTAACCCTCTAAACCCTAAAACCCTAAAACCCTAAAACCCTAAAACCCTAAAACCCTAAAAACCCTAAAAACCCTAAAACCCTAAAACCCTAAAACCCTAAAACCCTAAAACCCTAAAACCCTAAAAACCCTAAAACCCTAAAACCCTAAAAACCCTAAAACCCCCCTCCCCCCCCCAACTTGCTTCGTCTTGAGGGGCGGAAGCCCTAAACCCTAAACCCTAAAGCCTAAACCCTAAATCCACTGCCCAGGAGCTCAAGGAGGCCGACCCCGCCAGGCCACGGAGAGGGAAGTTCCGACACAGAGATTTTCCTCCTTGGAGGTTTATGGTACTTCCTAAACCCGAAACCCTAAACCCTAAACCCTAAACCCTAAATCCACTGTACTGCTAACTGTACTTATAGCCATACCAGGGCTTATAAGTGGGTTACAAGTACAGTTAGAATTGGTGAAGAAGTACCATGAACCTCCAAGTACTTGAAGGTTCATGGGTAGTTATAGGTAGGCTTGTAAGTAGCTTCATAACCTGAATTAAGCTTCTTATAACCCTACGTATATGTACCCATGAAGCCCCCCATCTCATTCAACAAAAGGGCCTTGGCGACTGTGCGGTGGTCCAGATAAGGTTTTAGGGTTTAGGGTGTAGGGTTTAGGCTTAGGCTTGTATGGGCCCATTTGACCACCCCAACCCAAAATTCTCGGCGAGGGCCAGGGCGGAAATCCTGGTGCTTTCGGCCTGACTCTGAAGGAAGTAAGTGGCTATACTGAGCAAACATGTCTTATGGCTTATCCCTTGTATATCTGCATACCCTCTTTTTTTTAATGGAATCTCGGTTTTGAGCTCCCTAGCCAGGTATGGGGCGTGGGCCACGAAGGACTGGGTGGCCTCGAAGGCATGGCGTCCTGGGGCTGCCTGGGCGGGTTGTTCAGGGATATGAAGCAGAGGGTTTAGGGTCTAGGGTTTAGGGTTTAATGTTTAGGGTTTAGGGTATAGGTTTACATTACTGTTTTTGGTGAGTGTATATAAGGTGAGTGTATACCTTGGGTGTCCATTTGGGGGTACAAGAAATCTGAGCCCTACTTCATATAGGGTGCGACAGGTTGTGGAGAAAGGTCCAGGGGGGGGGCGTGGGGAGGAGGGTAGGGTTTCCCCTAGAGTAGGGTCCGTTCGGGTACCTAGCATACTCTGAGAGAAGGCCGTGCCCCTGCTCTGAGCGCGCTGAAGTCTTCAACCGTTTCGCTGCGAGCCAGGGAAGGGTAATCTCGAGGTGCCCTAAACCCTAAACCCTAAACCCTAAACCTTAAACCCTAAACCCTAAACCCAAGAACCTATATCCCAAAACGTCCAAACACCCAAACATAAGACACCCTTCACACTTCACCCTAAGTCCCAAGCCGCCAAAACACCCTGAGCCCCAGACACCAAAACAAAACACGCACAAACCCTACACACTAAACTCAACCCAAACCCCCCCGCGCCCCTCCAAAGCCCACCTCCAAAAAACCTAAACCCTAAACCCTAAACCCTAAACCCTAAACCCTAAACCCTAAACCCTAAACCCTAAACCCTAAACCCTAAACCCTAAACCCTAAGCCCAAGCCATGGAGGTGCGAGAAACCTATGGCATGAACAACCACGTGCACTTTCCCAACGAGAACCTGCTGGGTGCCAGGCCGGGCAGCCAGGGCTTACTTGGGGCTTCCGGGTTTGGGGGTTTAGGGTTTATGGTTTGGGGGTTTAGGGTTTAGGGTTGGGTTGAGGGTTTTGGGTTTGGGGTTGGGTTTTGGGGTCTAGGGGAGGTGGGGGTTTTAGGGTTTGGGATTTAGGGTTTGGAGGAGTTTAGGGTGGATCTGGGGCTAAGTAAGATTAGGTTTAGGGATTAGAAAGCCAGCCCTGAACACCAAAGCATGGGAGGTTGAGGGTACTTGACCGGTGCGGTCGGTCTGAGATTGAGGGTTTGCGAGTTTGGGTCTTGTCCTTCTTTCGTTCCCTTCTTGGTTGTCGGGCTTTTGGAGTGGGCGAAGGATTCCCAGAGCACCTAAACCTTCCCTCAACCCCGCACCCTAGTGGGAAGTGGAGGGTCCACGGTACCTCAAGTTGAAGGCAAGGTTTTTCGAGTCTTGAAGCCGAGTTCTGAGCCCCAAACGAGTTCTTAAAGGCAGGGTGAGTTTCTGATTTGGGCTGTGCTTCGGGATGGTGACCGGATTGTTTGGTACAAGAGAACCTGTTCGTCAATGCACAACAACTCAGCGCGTTCGAGCCTGCAAACGGAGCAGAGCCACCCAGGCCGGTGGAACCGATTCCCAACAGCGACATCTATGTGACTGGGATGCAGTCAAGATGTGGCTTTCATGTTCTAACTTTAGCTTGCGGACAAGGGTTTCTGGGCTTGCCCGAGATGTGGGAAGGTGGGTGCCGTGATGGTTCACCTATCGCCTGTGAGGTAGGCTGACCGCAAGGTCACTTAAAGCGGGGTCAGCAACCAGAAATTTCTGACAAGACCCTCAAAAGAGTGCTGCAAACGAGAACATGAAAGACTCGAACGTGAAGGTCTAGACTATATAGTTCTCCTGGCGAAGCATCACGCAGCTATTCGTAGCGTGAAGGGCATTTGCAGCTATTCGTACTTGAGGGCTGAAAGACACATGGGCTTCCAGGGGACACAAAAGCGACGTCAGCCGTGGTCAGTCACCGTGTCTTTTTGCGGAGGAGGGGTTGCTAAACCCTAAACTCCAAACCCTAAACCCTAAAACCCTAAACCCTAAACCCTAAAACCCTAAACCCTAAAGCCTAAACCTTCGGTGGACTCTGTGACGCAGCACATTGGGTGGTCATGTTTTTCCGCCCGGGGGTTTCTCATCGCCAATCCTCAAGCCCCTACAGCCGTCCGCCGAACCCCTCCCCCCTCCCTGAGGGTTTAGGGTTTGGGGTTTGGGTTTGGGGGTTTAGGGTTCACCTGAACCCTAAACTACCCCCAAACCCTAGAGCCTATAAACCCCACACCCTCAATCCTAAACCCTTCATCCTAAGCCCTAAGCCCCAAACCTTGTGCCCCTAAACCCTGCTCAGTAAGGATGTGCTGAAGTCCCAGGGCTGTCAGTTCGGCTTCCACAACGGACCGGATGCTTTCGGCTGCAACCCTAAGCCTAGAAACCACCAGAAATCCCTGTGCCCCCACACCCTTTTTCCATCAACCCCTTTCCGCCCTTAGAAACCCTGAGCCCCTACACCCCTAAACCTGAAACCCTACACCCTAAACCCTAAACCCTAAACCCTAAACTCTAAACCCTAAACCCTAAACCCCCTCAGCCTGCCCACCCTATTTCGCTGCCTCTTTTAAAAAAGCAGCGCAGGATGGGAGTGCGCCAACTACTTCGACCCGGCCTCTCAAGGCCTGGGCGAGAGCATTTTCGCGGGCTTAGGGTTTAGGGTTTAGGGTTTAGGGTTTAGGGTTTAGGGTTTAGGGGTTGAGGTGTTTAGGGGTTGAGGTGTTTAAGTAATCCGGTGGAAGGTAAAGCTCGGGTGTTGTCTGTTTGAGAGGTGGATCTGAGGTATCGGGCTGCGGATTTGGGGGGGAAATCCCTAAACCCTAAACCCTAAACCCTAAACCCTAAACCCTAAACCCTAAACCCTAAACCCATCAAGTCCGATTGCTTGGACCCCTCAAGGCGAGCAGCATGGCAACTCCCGGGGCTCCTTCCGACGGCCGGCCTACAAGGACCCTACTTGAAGATTCATGGGTAGTCATAAATAGGAACCCTAAACCCTAAACCCCTAAACCCTAAACCCTAAACCCGGTAACCTGGACCCTAAGTCCAGATACTGGTAGCGGCTGCAGCAGTTTCCCAAACCCTAAGCCTTAAACTCTTTTTTGATCTTCGTTGGGAGTTTATTGGGCTTGCTTTAGGGCTTCCAGGACATTTGGGGGCTCTAGGGTTGCATGTCTGGGGTGGTCGTTGAGATTAGGGTTTAGGGTTTATTTGCACGGGTTCAGGGCCTACCGTTTTCGGGGATTGCGGGTTTCATTTCGTTTGTCCTTTCTGGTTTCTTCTTTCTGCAGGAGTAGGTTGAGCCTGAAAAGGGTTTGGGTTTGAAGGTTTAGGTCACGTCGTAGCCCTTGAGAAAGGCAGGGACGTGCGATCCGTCTTTGAAGCCTCCATTCCAAGGCAGACTGCTCACAGCCTAACCCTAAAATCGTAAAGCCTACTTGAAGGTTCATGGGCGCCTACAAGTAGGGTTTTACAAGCAAGATACCCTTTATTATAAGCTAGGTGTTTATAAACCTACTTCTACCTTTCCATGAACCTCCAAGTATACACCCTAAACCCTAAACCCTAAACCCTAAACCCTAAACCCTAAACCCTAAACCCTAAACCCTAAACCCTACACCCCAACCGCGAAAGCCTTTGGTGCCCCCGGGAGTGCAACAGGATCTGGTCGAGAAGGAGTGCCGCGAGATGGCAGGCTTCGGTGGCATTTGCTGCTTGCTGGAGTTTTGGGGACCTAAACCCTAAACCCTAAACCCTAAACCCCAAACCCCAAACCCTAAACCCTAAACCCTAAACCCTAAACCCTAAACCCTAAACCCTAAACCCCCTAAACCCTAAACCCTAAACCCTAAACCCTAAACCCTAAACCCTAAACCCTAAACCCTAAACCCTAAACCCTAAACCCTAAACCCTAAACCCTAAACCCTAATCCCTAAACCCTAAACCCTACCCTGACAGCAATCTGCCCGAAGCCCTGAAAAGCCCCTCCGAACCTCCAATCCTCAAGCCCTTATTTGTAGCATCTTATGGCATATTGTTGCATTTTTAGCTTGTTTTCATTTTTGCGCAAACTCATAACATATTGTAGTATATTAACGGGAGCAGCTCAAAGGAAAACTTTCGGACAGTATATTAATGGGAAATTGTAGCGTATGAAAAGTAGATTAAAGGCAAAATAATACGGTATATGATAGGCCCCTACGCCTTCAAATGACCCAACATGCCCAGGCTACTGGCCTTTTGCCAAGTACCACGTCTCGGGGCCTGGCGCAGAGGCTTTTTTGGACCGGCTGGTGCCGAACAGGTGCCGTGAGAGCATGGGAACTCAGGGTTCAGGCTGAAGACTTGGTGTTTGGGGGTTCGGTGATTCAGGGCTGAGTTGTGCCGGTTTTTGGGGATTGCGAGGTTTTGTTCGGGGTTGGAGGGCTAGGCTTTCATTAAGGGCCTACACCTGTGTGTTGATCTCGGGCCACTTCAAGTGGGGATAGAACTCTTTTGGAAATAGGTTGAGGACCTCTTGCTCGCTGTAGTTGTGGTCGCCTCATCCGGCCTTGCAGCACATCCTAGACCCCAAGCCCCAATCAGGTCATCGCAGCCACCATTCTTTCAAGACCACGGCCTGTGAATACCTCTGGAACTGCCACTAAAGCGGCTCACCAAGCTTGTCTATGAAGTCTGAACAGCCTCTGGTTCCCCACACAAGCAGCTGCAAGCCTCGGGGGCCTTTCTCGGAGGCTGCCTAAAGTGGGCCGCTGCGCCCTCTCGTACTTCCTGACGCCGCAGGTGGCCATCCCCAAAGCCCGAAGTGTTTATCCTTGCTCTTGTTACGCCTAGGTAGGCCCTTGGGACATTTTATATTTTCCCTTATTGGGTTTAAGAGAATAATATTTAAGAACATTTTTCAGATGGTCCTAAGGGCCATACTAGACACTGATGACCCGCAGTGGACGGTTATTCCCTTTCTAGGCTTCGGTTCCCTCAGAAATCCAGCAAAGTACACCGATAGCTAGGTTGCTCCACTTTTCTCAGCATCATTTGTACAGTCGCCGCTGTCTCTTGGCTTGTCAGGCCCCTATAAACTCCAAGCCCCGAACCCTTAAACCCTAAACCCTAAACCCCTAAACCCCTAAACCCCTGAACCCCAGAACCCCTAAACCCCTGAACCCGCAACCCTGAGGGCAAGATCAGCAGCGAAGTCATGCTGGTGCGGCTGGCGGAGGACAAGTTCTACGTGGTCAGCTACCCCGAGCAGGAGCCCCTAGGCTTTAGGATTTAGGGTTTAGGGTTTAGGGTTTAGGGTTCAGGGTTCAGGGTTTAGGGTTTAGGCTTTCGGGTTTGTCAGCGGCATTGGCTTCAGGGCTTCTAGCAGATCTGCTTCATTCCCCCGAAATATATAAGGAACATTCCCGAACTTGTAGTGGGATCCTTCATAGGATTTTAAGGCTGAACCCAAAAGCCTCAACCCGCAAATCCTGAATCGCATGACGGCAGGAGCTCTTTGACTGGCGCTGGCTGCATATGAACAAGCCGGCCGAGGGCGTGGAGATCGAGAATGTTACCGCCGAATTCGGCACGTTCCGGGGCCCAAAAAATTAGGGGGGGGCCGCGGTAAGCAGGCTCTTGACCAAGCCCTAAACCCCAAACCCCAAACCCCAAACCCTAAACCCCCAAACCCTAAACCCCAAACCCTAAACCCTAAACCCCAAACCCTAAACCCTAAACCCTAAACCCAAAAACCCTAAACCCTAAACCCAAGGCTCATGGTCTCCGGCCCCGAAAGCCGCCGAGTCCTGGCGCAGCTGGACGGCGACGAGGCGAACTGGTCCAAGGACCACAGGTTTAGGGTTTAGGGTTTAGGGTTTAGGGTTTAGGGTGTAGGGTTTAGGGTTTAGGGTTTGGGGTTTGGGGTTTAGGGTTCAGGGTTTAGGGTTTAGGGTTTGGGGTTCAGGGTTTAGGGCAGGGTTCAGGGTGTAGAGTTTAAGGTAGTTCGGGTTTCGGTTTTGGGGTTTGGGGTTCAGGGTTCAGGGTTTAGGGTTTGGGGTGGGGTTTGGGTTCAGGGTTTACGGTTTAGGGTTCATTCAGGGTGTACGGTCTGAGGTTTAGGGTTTGGGGTTTGGGATTCAGGGTTTACGGTTTAGGGTTCAGGGTTTAGGGTTTGGGGTTTGGGGTTTCGTGTTTAGGGTGTAGGGTTTGGGGTGTGGGGTCTGGGGGTTGGGGTTTAGGGTGTAGGGGTTTAGGGTTTGGGGTTTTGGGATTTAGGGCCTGCTCCCAAGGGTTGTGGTGTAGGGTTTTGGTTTCGGGTTGATTGTTCGAGGAAGAGAGGGGGGGGGGGGTACATGGTGTTTTCAGGCATGACTCGGGAGCTTGCGGGTCTTAGGCTTTGTAGGGCTTTGGGGGGTCTAACGCCGCACATCTTCCACGCGGTGCCAGTTTTGTGCTCTACAGCTTGGAGGACTCGACATCAACCCGAACCCAAAAACCAAACAAACCCTATAAGCCCCATAAACTAAATGAACCCATTAAATTAAACCCAAGGACCCAATAATTCAACCCGCACAAGGCCTATAAACCCCATAACCCCGCACCCGAACAGCTTTCCGAAGTGTGTGCAGCCCCAAAGGCCAAGACTCCGCTAAGTTCTTATCAGGGATCCCACTATGATGCAGGGAATATTCCTTATTTAAAGACCCTACGAGACTTTCTCCGATAAAAGATTTTTCGGACCTGGATGTATTTTGAATTTAGGGTTTCAGGCTTGCGGTTTCAGATCCGCGGCTCAAGGCTCCCTACCCCCTGAAAAGGCTCCACGCGGGCCCCAGACACGACAAAAAACCCGAAGAGTTCTCTGCACCCGAAATCCTAAACCCTCAACCCTAAACCCTAAACCCTAAACCCTAAATCCCTAAACCCCAACCCCCAAGGACCCTATAAGTTGCCGAGTTGTCGAAGGACAACTTCAAGTTCTACGCCTGGAAGCAGGTGGAGCTCGCGGGCATCCCTTGTCAGAACCCCAGCACCAGCAGAAGCCCAAAAACTTCAAGGGCCATCCCCTTAAATGCTGAACCGCAAGCCGGGTTTAGGGTGAAGGGTTCCTTGGAAGCCTACATACAAATCCAGGGATACTCAGTATGACCCCCCCCCCCCCGCTTCACCCCAAGATGTTAGAACGACAGCGCCTGGGGACCTGAATAGCCGAAGATTGTGTAATCTAGCGATTTCTCCTTGCCTGGGGCCTTAGGGACCTCCTTGAGAATCTTCAAACCCTATTATACACCCTAAACCCTACACCCTAAACCCTAAACCCTAAACCCTAAACCCTAGACCCTAAACCCTAAACCCTAAACCCTAAACCCTGAACCCTACTGGACTTGAGGGGGGTTCTTGCTCGCCCCGACCTCGATGGCCTTTTGTAACCCAGGCCGGGCCCTGCGCGTCAGCTTCACCGGTGAGCTGGGTGCGGGACCACGGCTGGCTGGAGGGGTTTAGGGGGGTACCGGGTTTAGGGTTTGGGGGTTTAGGGTTTAGGGTTTAGGGTTGGGGGGTTTAGGGTTTAGGGTTTGGGGGTTCAGGGATTTAGGGTTTGGGGGTTCAGGGGTTTAGGGTGTGATTCGCCGACCTTGGGGGTTTAGGGCTGAGTCTAGGGGTTGAGGGCCTCTTGTTTTAGGTCTGCAGGGGGTTGGGGGCTCTAGGCTCTCGGTGTTTATGGTTTAGGGTTTAGGGCTTTAGGGTTTAGGGTTTAGGGTTTAGGGGCTGTAGAGCTTGGGGCAGTCAGGTTGAGGACACTGCGAAAGGAGGAGCTTGGTGGGACTTTGCCTTCTGGGGAGCCCCAGCAGCCCCAAGTAAGAGGCCTAACGTTCTACACCTTCAAGCTTTAGCCCTAAGCATCTATACCCCACATCCCCTAAACCTCTAAAACCCTGAAGCCCTAAACGCGCTGTGCGCCTCTGAACACTTTAAAATCCGAAACTTCCAAAATCCTCAGCCCAGAAATGGCCGCTGTTAGGTTGGGAGCTCCACCCGGCCACGGGCGACGTCGCCCCGCTGTGCCTGGGCTTGGCGGATTCAGGGTTTAGGGTGCTTTTTAAGGCTTTGGGGTTTTAGTGCTTAGCTTCTGCTTCGGGGGCGAAGGCTTGGGGGCTTGGGTTCAACAGTATGTCATCTACCAGATGAACACCCCGAGGCATCGTTGGGGGTTCATGGCCTTACTTGGGGCCCTTTGGAGACTCTCACTCTCCCTCTCACTCTCACTCTCACTCTCACTCTCACTCTCACTCGCACTCGCACTCGCACTCGCACTCGCACTCGCACTCGCACTCTCTCTCTCACTCACTCACTCACTCACTCACTCACTCTCTCTCTCTCTCTCTCTCTCTCGCGCTGCTAAACCCTATCTGCGTACAACATTTACATGTATGTATGTACATACATAAAATCTCTCTCTTTTTTCTACACATTCGTGTATGCTTGCTCTAAAGCCGAGGTACCGCGCCCTGAAGGCCGCGGAGCCGCGACTGAACGCGCCTGCGGCAGCAGGGTGATTGGGGTGCATTAGGGTTTAGGGTTTAGGGTTGAAGGTTTAGGGTTTAGGGTTTAGGGTTTAGGGTTTAGGGTTAGGGTTTAGGGTTTAGGGTTTAGGCCTGCAGGGTTTCGAGTTGCTGGGTTTAGGGTTTAAGGGAGAGGATCGCGGGGTTTAGGGTTTAGGGAGAGGATCGGGGAACGTAGCAAGTAGGTATGAAACAGGCTTCTAAGTAGGACCCTAGTTGGGGCTATCCTACTTAATCACTACTAACTCGATTCAATAACTTCCGAAGGCTCGCGATCTTCCAAATAGGCTCCCAGTGAGGCATAGGAGTTCAGGCTAGGGTTGAAGGTTTAGGGTTGAGGGGTTAAGGTTTTTGAGGTTTGGGCTTTCAACGTGGGATTTTAGGGTTTAGGATTAGGGTTCCGGTGGGCATATGGGAGATTCTTGTGGCCCTGCGGGAGCTGAAACCTCAGCTGAACCCAAAACCCTCAGCTGTTGATGTCTCCACCCAAAAACCCACAAAGCCGAAACCCTGGACGTTGCACCCTCCATTCATCCTAAACCCTAATAAACCCTATAAAACCCATGAGCCCAGAACCAAGCCCTCTAACCCTATACCCCTCTACTTGAAGGTTCATGAGTAGTTACAAGTAGGGTCACATGGCTATCAGTATGGTAACCTGGTATTATAACCGTTAGAACCATTAGGCTACCTTATAGCCTTACTTCCCGCTTTGCTGCCCATGAAACCCTAAGCCCTAAGCCCTAAGCCCTAAACCCTAAACCCTAAACCCTAAACCCTAAACCCTATGTAGGACTGGGGCGGATACGCCATGGGCTCCTTCCGCCGCGGCCCCGGGAGAGGTTGCAGCTGCTTGTTGGCCTCCTGTTGGCCTGTTTGTTTTAGGGTTTAGGGTTTAGGGTTTAGGGTTTAGGGTTTAGGGTTTAGGGTTTAGGGTTTAGGGTTTAGGGTTTAGGGTTTAGGGGTTTGGGCGTTTTGGGGTTTTAGGGCTGAAAGGGTTCTGAGGGTTTTGTAAGGGTTTTAAGGGCTTGAAGGGTTTGAAAGGTTTTTTTACAGGGGTTTGGGGTTTTAGGGCGTAGGGGTGTCGAAGAGTAGAGATGAGCTGTGCTCAACAACATGTAGCAGTTATGCAGGGATGTGGGGTCAGAGGAGCGCAGGTATAGTTGGAGCCTCAGGAAGGCTTGGCAGACTCAGGAGTAGGCCTTCAAAGCAAAGCACAAGCACCTGCACCTGCTCAACCAGTCCAGGAATCCAGGCCCTTTTATTGCAGAAGCTCACCCCCCGAAACTTATGGCAAGCAAGCACCGAAACGATTTCTTTTTCTATCTTCACCGACCTAAAGCCTCAAAGAACTTACTGAACCCCCATAACCTCCTCAACCGCCTCCCCTCTGGGCACCCTCCCCCCCCGCTCTCCCCCCCTCCACTTTTCCCCCCCTTCTACTCCGCCTACTTGAAGGTTCATGGGTAGTTATAAGTAGGGTTATAAGTAAGGTATGAATCAAGGCACTTGTAGCCCTACTTCCAACCACCCACAAGTAGGATTATAAGTAAGGTAGCCTATACTATAACCTGAATTCAGGTACTTATAACCCTACTTATAGCTACCAATGAACCTCCAAGTAAGCCCTGAACCCTAAACCCCAAACCCTCAACCCTAAACCCTAAACTGAAATCCCCTGAACCTCCAAGTAAGCGAGCTACACGCCAGATTTTGGGGACCAAACGCACCCTGAAATTGGGGTCATATACCTGGTACTACCATAACTTAAGGTAGTTTGAACCATGAAAACCCTTGTGCCAGCATCCTGGTGGAACGAGGCCTTGAGAAAGGCTTCAAGGCCTTCGGTTCCGCCGCCTGGGCAAGATGAGAGCGGGGTCTTGAAACCCTAAACCCTTAAAACCTAACCCTTAAGCCCTAAACCGCAAAGCGCAAACCCCAAACCCCAAACCCTAAACCCTAAACCCTACAGTTGTCAGGAAACACAGGGCTTCCATTGCGTGGTCGGTTTGTTCTAACTGACCAAGTAGTAGACCTTGTCGTGACGTAAAAACAAACTTGAAGGGGATCTTCAACCGAGCCAAACCCCCCCTCCATGTCTGGAAGATTACAAGATCCTCAATGCCTCGCCCTCAAGATCCCCAACCCAACAGAATGCCGGAGACCCTGCCATAGACCCTAAACCCTAAACCCTAAACCCTAAACCCTAAACCCTAAACCCTAAACCCTAAACCCTAAACCCTAAACCCTAAACCCTAAACCCTAAACCCTAAACCCTAAACCAGGACATGACCCGGGACCACCAGGCCCTGGAAGCGGGTATCAGCCGCCCGGCCACATGCAGAGTTTCAGGACGGGGGGTGGGGGGGGGGGGATGGGGATGGGGGGTTTAGGGTTTAGGGTTTAGGGTTTAGGGTTTAGGGTTTAGGGTTTAGGGGGGGAGAGAGGGGAGGTTCAGGGGATTTCAATTTAGGGGTTAGGGTTTAGGGTTTGAGGTTTAGGGTTTGAGCTTCGGGTTTGGGGGTGTACGTAGTTCCAGACCTCTGGACTGGAGCCACGCATCTGATTTTCTACCAGCACTCTTCAACCTTGCCCAGGGCTATCAGAACCTTGGGGCACACCATCGCTTAAATGCCCAGACGTCAGCCCCACAGGCCCTGACCCCGCGAATAGTTCAAGCCCCACGGAGCTTGGGGTATAGGTCTCCGGTCGAGCCGGACTACTCGAGCACTTTCATCCTCGGAGACAGGTCACTGGATGGTCACGACTTCGACAAGATTTCTGAGGGGATTTCGTCTTCGAAAAACCCTGGGCTGTAGAAACCTTCACTGGCGGAACGTAGTCGAAAGCTCACCCTCCCGAGTCGCCAGAATCCATGCTTGGCCAAGGTGGAAAGTTTTTGCGCATGGAGTGATGCCGGCGCAGCTTCCCATGAGCGTAGGTTAGTCAAGTCTAAGTTCTGCCGTGAGTTCTGTTGTCAGGGATTCGCTGAAGTAGAAGCTGCCAAGATTTCAGAACTGTCGCTGGGTTGCTTCCTGATTACCGGCTGCTGCCGCCGTGGTGCTGCCGCTGCGGTTGCAAACGGCATGTGGCCTCACACCCCTGATCCCGAATCCCTAAACCCTAATGCCTAAACCCTAAACCCTGAAGAAGACCGACTTGCCAGGAAGGACTTCATCGGTAGAGACGCCCTGGCTGCGAGCCCTGAGCCCGCTCAGCCCTCAGGGGAGGAAGAAGGCTCGGGTTTAAGAGTTTTTTGCGGGTTGTTTAGCATTGTTTATAGCATTGTTTAGCTTTTCTAGTCCGGTTGCTTTGGTTCGTCAACAGGTGGCTTCGGTTGAAAAGTTTGGCACTCCCGGTTTTTTGTTCATGTATCTCACGGGTGCAAGCAGAATGGCACATGCGAGAATGTCGTAAACGATGCATCAGTGCATCATCCAGCAAGTCTGTCGACACACGGCCATAAGGAAGGCGTATTGGACAAAGGTATCCATGAGAGGACAGAAACACAAAGCACCCCCTCCCCACCAGTGTGCACCAGCTCATGCAGTTTGCCTTCCATGCGTTGCAAGACTCAGTTCATGGGTTCCCCTACTACCTCCCTCTATACTAACCCCCCCCCCAGGTTCCTAGAGGGGTGGTATAGAGGGGGGTCGTAGGGAAACCCATGATCAGTGATCGGCTCCGTGGCACCCTGGGATGGTGGTCGTACACGTGCTCGATCTTAGTGGGCAGAGCCTTCTCTGCGAAGATGTGCCCACGCCTACTTCTGCAGAGCTCTTGCGGAGGCTAAGCTGCGCCAACCTTGACCAGCTTGTGCTGGATGGCCAAGCCATCGTAGGTGAGATCCAGCCCAAGGACGGAGAGGACTGCGTCACCCTCACACTGGTTCGGGTGCGCTGCAACCTTCGCGAAGGTCTCTCAGAGCACCTTCTGAGAAACCTTGCCCATGCAGGTGCCCTGAAACTTCCTCCTGGGGGCCCAGAAAAAGAGGAGGAGGGATGCCTTTCCTTCCGGGTATCATACACAGACGGCAGCTACGTATGGGGGCCCTGCGAGCGCACGATGTCATGGCACGTGCTTCTTCTCCAGGATGGTCGCATCCTAGCGAAGCAAAGGTTGAGTGTCAACGATGGGGAAACCCGTCAGAGGAGGCGGCGCCACTCAATTGCAGAGGGCACCTTCCGGCCGGATGAGTCGCCTGGCATGCTGCTGGTGACGTGGGCAGGCTACGCGACCATCGATGCAACTGAGTCTCGGAGCCTACCTCACTCCCATCTGGAAGCCGGCCGTGCTGAGCCTCTAGATCCAGGAGCTGCATCTTGGGAGAAGAGGCTTCCTCTCGATATTCTACCTGTGTTACTTGAGGCGGGCCGTCTGAACTTACAAGAGCTGTGCAGCAGCTGGGCCTCAGCCAATGCACCCACCAGCCACTCCGTGCCCTGTCTCACGGAAGGCACACTCTCAAATCTGGGTATGGAGCCCGCGAATTTATGGTTCTGGTGCCCACCGGTGGCAGCATAGGTCCAGAAATTGGGGCGCTATCCGAACCACAACGAGGGTTGACGTGACCTGCACCCCGACGCCCTGCCTATGCCGACAGAAGGGTGCTCAAGAGGCGAGTGTGCAGAACTGGCGCAGTACATCGATGCCGATCCCTTGATGCCAGTGTTGCGGCAGAAGTCCAGCCCGTGCGATCCTTCGTGAGCAAGTTCGCGAAAGCGCAGCGCGCTGTAAACAAGCCTTGGACATGTACGACACGCAGCGTGCAGAGCCCTGACTGGAGTGGAGTGTGCGCCACTAGCAAGCTAGAGCGAGAACGACCCAGTTACCGTGATGTGCTGGCAAATGTGTGGACCGACAGCCATGGCAGCGATAATAACAAGTTCGCACACGCCAAGTGTGGATCATTGTTGTTCTCGTTATCATCACCGTCATCATAGCAGCCAGCCATGAGCTTGTGCAGTTGTGCAAGAAGAGCCAGTGGAGGGTCCCCAGTTCCGAAGCACCCTAAACCCTAAACCTTAAGCCCTAAACCCTAAACCCTAAACCCTAAGCCCTAAGCCCTAAACCCTTTTCAAGTCGCCCCTTTACACCTTGTGCTCTGCAGTGTCGCGCTGAAGTCAGGCGAGGAAGCTGGTGCACCTGGCCGTCACCACCCCCGAAGGCCGGGTTTAGGGCTCAGGGTTTAGGGCTTAGGGCTTAGGGTTTAGGGTTTAGGGTTTAGGGTTTAGGATTTAGGGTTTAGGGTTTAGGGTTTAGGGCTTCGGGCTTGGGGCTTGGGACCTAGGAGCGCGGTGGCGCCTGCAAGGCCCCGGTGTAGAGCATCGGGACTACTTGAAGGTTCATGGGTAGTTATAAGTAGGGTTATAAGCAAGGTAACCTATATTAGGTAGGCCCGTGGGATATGTAATGATTTCTGATGTTAGGTTTAAGATGGCCATGGTTTCGGAATATTGTTCAGAGGGGTTTAAGGGCCATTCTAGTAACTAGTATATTACAACGTGAATGAAGGTACTTATAACCCCACTTACAGCCACCCATGAACCTCCAAGCATACCCAGAATCTCCATGTTCTGCGCCATTGCTGATCATGCGGCAGGTGTTGACTGCGTCGGGAACGAGTCCATCTTCAACTCTGTCACAGGAGCCTTGGCACACGGAGGGTTGAGGCTTAGGGGTGCGAGATCCTGAGTTGGTCTCGATGATTCACCATACTTGAAGGTTCGCGGGTAGCTTGTATTTAAGTAGGGTTATAAGTAAGGTAAGCTTATAGTAGTTAAAGTACTTACAACCCTACTACGACTAGCAACTCATGAACCTTCAAGTGCAGGAGAAGTTGTGGGCTTCACAACCAGCGGTGGGCCCAAGCCTGAGATGGTACACGGTCTTGGGTACCCCAAAATACCCTAACTCCCAAGATGCCCAAGCACAGTATCCCAAGGACCCAATGATAACCGCAGTTTCATAGGGCCCCCACCCCGGGCCCTAAATTCTCGTCGCTTCTCTTCACCCTGGCCTGGATAGTACACATGCGCTGACGAGGTATGGCTACCTTGCGCAGCAAAGCATCGCCTTCGGCTATGTGCGGAACTTAACAAAGACGGCCCCGAAGCGCAAATTGAGCTTTCTCACTGCTCTAACACCGTCGATCTCGCGCCTCAACCAACCGTACACAGCTTGCTGCGAGCAGTACGGACACACGCACACCTTGCATCATGGGGTCCTGGAGCATTGTGCAAGAGGAAGATGACCCACGACCTCCACCTCCACAAGGGGCCATATCCAGCGCCCACATGCCACAGAACCAGCAACCCCGAACACCTAGGTAAACGGCACAACCCGAGACACAAGATCCCTAGACTCCGAAACGCCCTGAAATGGCACTTACAACACAAAACACGCCCCTAGACCACGAAGGCGACCCTAAACCCTAAACCCTAAACCCTAAACCCCAAACCCCAAACCCTAAACCCTAAACCCTAAACCCATAAAACCCTAAAACCCGAACAACGAGCCTGCGAAAGCGCAGCAGGGAGCTGGGCCCCGAGGTGTCCTCCGCAGAGATCGAAGCCGGCGCGCCGCTGGCCATCGAGGCGGGGGACACTGCGCGAGGTTTAGGGTTTAGGGTTTAGGGTTTAGGGTTTAGGGTTTAGGGTTTAGGGTTTAGGGTTCAGAGGGGTTTAGACGGGCTTAGAGGGGTTTAGAGGGGTTTAGCGGGGTTTAGAGGGGTTTAGAGGGGTTTAGAGGGGTTTAGAGGGGTTTAGAGGCGCTTGGGGGGAGTGTAGTTGTTTTTCTGGAGGGGAGGGGGCTGAGGGGGAGTTTAGGGAGTTTAGGGGTTTCGGTTGTTTGGTCTGGTGATCCTTTGAGGGTTTAGTAGTGGATGCCGGAAAATTTCCTGTGTGGTTTCTCATAAGCTAGAAGGGCTTGCGTGCTAGAGGACGGACATCTGCCACGTTCAGGTCATCGGCCAGCTTTGCGAAGCCCGCGTGCAAGAAGGGCCGACCTGGCTATTTAAGACGGCATTCTTTTGCATCAGGATCTCAGAGACTCCAAAACCAAACCCTAAACCCTAAACCCTAAACCCCTTAATTAAGGAATATACCTTAAATCATGCTAGGAACCCTAACTGGGATGGTCAGAGAACGGTTGAATTTCTCTTTCGGTCGCGGCTCCGCTCCGGCACCATTCACATCGTCCTTCTTCGGTTCACCCATAGGGTATTCCTCCTGCTTCTCCGCTCCTGTGCCCCTCAGACAGAAAGGATGCGGGTAAATGCATGAAAGACGAGGACCCGCAGAAGGCCCTTATTCCCTTGACTCAGGGTTTAAGTCCAAACCCCCTGTAAACCAAAAAAAGGGCCACCCTTTTTTATTCCTAGGTCAATCTTAAGGCTCTAGAAGACAAGCCTGCGCCCCTTGCCTCAAGTTCCAGAATGCTCGAGCAGCACCCCTAAACCCTAAACCCTAAACCCTAAACCCCTAAACCCTAAACCCTAAACCCTAAACCCCTAAACCCTAAACCCTAAACCCTAAACCCTAAACCCTAAACCCTAAAACGTGATTTTTTACAGCCTTAAGGCCTTAAGCCCGTACTCTCCAAGCGGTGGCCAGGGCCTTTCCGGTGAAGGAGGCGCCCCTTTTTTTTTTTTTGGGGGGGGGGGGGGGGGGGGGGGGTTAGGGTTTAGGGTTTAGGGTTTAGGGTTTAGGGTTTAGGGTTTAGGGTTTAGGGTTTAGGGTTTAGGGTTTAGGGTTTAGGGTTTAGGGTTTAGGGTTTAGGGTTTAGGGTTTGCCAGCCCTCTCCGCACACTGCCTCTAAAAATCCTTCTTTGAGCCTTTGAGTACGCCCTCAGCCCGACCTCGTTGGTAAGGTGTACTGAAATTACTGAAAAGAATCCATGTGTATGTATATACATTATATGTATATAGCTGGCTCTCTCTCTCTGTCTCTTTCTCCCTCCCTCCCTTTGTCTCAAGTAGGCGGCTGGTGATTCGCGGCCACGTGGGCAGGCCGGCAGCTTTTTGTTGGGTCTTCTGGAGACGGCGGGGTGTACAAGGGCAAGTGGTGGAATTTAGGGTTTAGGATTAAGGTAGCCTGGTAGAGGTTGTATTCGTGATAGAGGTGGTGATCTGATGGCGGTGGCGGAGGCTGCTGTCGCAGTAACCGTCTTATTCGTCGCCTCCCCTGCCATCGTCAGCAGCAGTAGCAGTCGTCGTCGTCGTCCTGGTAGTGGTAGTGGTCGAGGTCGAGGTAGAGGCGGAGGCAGAGGCAGAGGCAGAGGGATGAATAAGAGGAGTAGGAGGAGAGGGAGTGGCGGTAGGAGTAGGAGTAGTAGGAGCAGCAGGACAGTAGGAGTAGCAGGACGAGCACCAGAAGTTGCGGAAGAAAATCTCAGAAGCCTCGAGACATGTCTTCAAGCCATCGGCAGGCGTCGGGCGAAACAGCCAGGCGCGAGCTGGAGCTGTGAAGCCATTGAGTTGGCACATGCAGTCACAATAGAATATTTTAATGTAGTGTTATAATGAATCATTGTACAATGCAGCCCTGGTTTGGGATCCAAGCAAGCTCACGAGTGAGTCGACTCCCCACTTGACTCCCGATTGCTTCCCCAGCTACAGCGATGGCCTTTAGAATTTTCATCCGTGATTGTTCTATGATCCCTAAACTCTGAACCCTAAACCGTAAAGCCTAAACCCCCTAAGCCGTGCACAGGCCCAGCCTCTGACCCTCTCTCGATTAAAGCTGCTTGGCCGCAGCTTTACATCCGCAAGGCTTCGTGCGCCCAGTCGCTTGAAATCCGAAAGCTTAGTTCTTGCAGTCACCAAAGCCCGCAGCAGTTGCAGTAGACCCGAAACCATAGCCATGCACGCATGAAGGAGTTTCTGGAGCCCCTTTCCCTGATGTGCAGAGGCAGAACTAAGGATCGATCTCGGGAGTACATCAAGGGTTCGCGTTGGGCACATGTCACATTTCCCTTCTTGGCTCTTAAGACAGGACTCTTTCCCAGAGGGTTTTCAGGGCCATGCTAGTTTAGGGTTTGCAGTCACATCCTCACGAGCATGGCTTTGGGGCCATCCTAAGAATCTCCACCTCTCCGCATCGGAACGCCTTGAACCCCCCTCTGATGCGGTCCCTTGCGCCCTAAAGCATAGACCCCGGAGTCCTAAGCGAACCGAACCGAAGCCGAACCTGCCTCAGGACATGACTGAAACAATCTGTAAATATCTGTACATACCGGAAAAAATTCACTCGGCGCAGCTTCCTTTTTCTTGGGCATGGCGGCCCCCAAAGTGATTGAGACTATACTCCAGGGCTTAAGTCGCGTCTCTGCTTTCGGCCACAGCTGGTTCCAGACAATTCCAGCGAGGCCCCGTCTGCCAATATATGTCCGAACACAAGAAATTGCATACCTTATTTCTTGCATATCTTTTGCCTTAACTTTTGAGGTCAAGGGTTGCTGATAGGTAAGGTTTAGGGTTTAGGGTTTATGGTTTAAAGGCCCTACGCCATAAGTTTCGAGAGACGCGGCTTTAGGTCTGATATCTCGGCATTTCAATGGCCGGAAGGATCCTGTTGCCGATGCTGCCCGAAGCTGGTCCAGAAGACGCGACACCAATGTGAAAAGAATCCGAAACCCTACGGGTTTGGGGTTTAGGATTTAGGGTTTAGGGTTTAGGGTTTAGGAAACCCTGAACACAGAGTTGAGCTGATTGCACGCCGCCCAGCCGAGCCCGATGTCAGGTTCGCAATTTGGCGGCTGCCAAAGTAGATGCCATCGACATCTGTCGCTGGAGATAGCTATAGGCGAAGCCTAAGAGATAGCTAGAGGCGAAGCCTAAAGAAGCGGTTGGAATGATGCGAAGTGAAAACTGTGCTTTGGGCTTCCTGCTAGTTTTGGCTTGGGTTTGTCACCAGCGCCGCCTGTGTCAGCTGCCAGTCTTTTGAAAATGGTGCTGCGGTGGCTTGCGCTGGTGCTAGCTACAGGTGCTGCGGGGGCGGACGAAGCTTTCCCGTCAGTGCATGCGCTGATTGGGCGCGTGGCTGGCTCAGAAGCTGCCCTGCACTTCACGTTGGAGGAGGTGCCAGCGGACACGAAGGGCCGAGAGCAGATGTCGCTCAGAAGCGATGGGCAGCGGGTGGTTGTGGGTGGGACGAGCCCCGTTGCGGCTGCGTCGGCCTTCAACTGGTACCTCAATGATTTTCTGAACACCACATATGACTGGTCGACGTACCAGGTTATCCTGCCGCAGGGGTCGCTGCCGCTGCCGGCATCACGGCTCACCCGGCCACGGCTTGTGAAGTGGTCTTATCACCTGCTCCTTGCAGTGTCCTTCGGAAATGTTTTTGCATTGCTGTTTGCCGGCAAGCCCTCAGAGAGTTCTACCAACTTGTTTATGTTTGCAATGTTGCTGCAGGAACGTGTGCACGTATGGCTACAGTCTGGCTTTCGTGGATTGGGAGTATTGGCAGAAACACATCGACTGGATGGCGATGCAGGGCATCAACCTTCCCCTGGCCTTCCTCGGCCAGGAGAAGGTTCTTCAACAGGCCTTCGCTCGCTTCAACATCACGTTCCAGGAGCTCCAGCATTTCATCTCCGGGCCGGCCTTCTTGCCGTGGTTCCGCATGGGCAACATGCAAGCTTGGGGCGGCCCGATTTCGCAGGCGTGGATCGACGATAGAGTCCAGCTGCAGAAGCAGGTGCCGGACAAACAATCTTGTGGATGTAAGTTTGGACTGAGTGATGTATGCATGCGTGCATGTACTTAATCATGCAGGTATGTGTGTATGTATGTATGTATGCATGTATGTATGTTTGTTTGTATGTGTGTATGTTTGTATGTGTACATATATATATATATGTATGCATGTATGCATGCGTGTATGTAAGTACGTACTTTTGACATGCATGTATGTATGTATGTAGGTATGTATGTATCCAAGCTGATTAAGCAAAGCAACAGACAGGCGCCAGGAATTGAAAGCCTTAAATAGACGTTACACCATGCCAACCCTGATTGTAAGACTCAAGGTAGTTCAGAGACTCGAGTTAAAAAAACTAACTTTACTCCCCAAAGTCGGTACTATTTGTACTTGCAGGCACCGGAGCCGGTCTGAGTTGTATGCTTGGAGCCTGCACCCCGAAAGCCCAAAGGCTCATTTCACCCCCCCCCCCCCCCCCCCCCCCCCTTGCCGGAAAGTCTGAGCTAACCAGCACGAGACATCCCGTAAGCTGGAATCTAGAGCCTAGTATGAGCCCCTTGGTTCTTGTAGTGGAACTTAAAACAAGAAACCATAGTTGGGGGAATAGTGAAAATAGATTGTCCTGATTGTTCCTGCAACAGGAACGCAGTATCCCTGAGCTAAAGACTTGATACCTTTGGCTGTAAGGTCCACCTTCAACCGTATCTCATTCCTTCATAAGCCTAACCCCCCAAGTCTTTTATAGGTTTTAGGGCTTAGGGCTATTGGCCCTACACCCAAAGTCTTAAGGGTTTAACTTGCGCCCCTAGGGTTTCGGGTTCAGGGCTTAGGGCTTGACACTAACGTCTGAGTTTGTGCATACGGCTGCCCTAGTCACCGTTGCGTGTAAGTCGAACCTTCCAGCAACCCTAGACTTTGCCGTAAACTCTTCAGCCCAGACTCCAAGCCCCAAACCCTAAACCCTATACCCTGAACCCTATACCCTGAACCCTAAACCCTAAACCCTAAACCCTCAATCAGTTTCATGAAGCCCGCCCCAAACCTGGAATCGAGAGAGGTGTGGCTCCAAGCATGACAAAGTCTGTAGGAGCATAGTCTCTAGGGCCTGTTTTTGATTCTTGCTTCATACCCTAAATCCTAAACCCTAAACCCTAAACCCTAAACACCCTAAACCCTAAACCCCCGATGCCTGCCTTTTTTGTCTGACCTGAGCTCCAGGTGCTCGGCAGAATGCGCGAGCTCGGTATGAAGGCGGCGTTGCCCGCCTTCGCAGGCTTCGTGCCGCCTGCGTTTGCGACCAAGTTCCCGAAAGCGAGCCTTGGGTAGCCCAGTTTAGGGTTTAGGGTTTAGGGTTTGGGGTTTAGGGTTTAGGGTTTAGGAGCCCAGTGGTACCCTTTTGCTTCCGCTTTTTTTGGTTCAAGGTTCCCACGTATGAAGTACCCAAACCAAAAAAAGGGTACCCTTATCATAGTATGCTTGTACCCTTATTGTAGTATGGTTGTACCCTAAACCCTAAACCCTAAACCCTAAACCCTAAACCCTAAACCCTAAACCCTAAACCCTAAACCCTAAACCCTAAACTTATTATCGCATGGGCTACTGAGGAACCTCACGCACTCGGCGGACTGGAACCGGTTCCCAGACCCATATGGCAGCGTGTCCTTACTGGAGCCCACGGACCCGTTGTTCAAGCAGATTGGACGCTTAGCAGTAGAGTAGGAAACCTTGAACCTTTTGAGGGCATTATATTCCCTGTCAAATCCCCAAGGTTAAGCTTTAGTTCCTTAACCCTAAACCCGAAACCCTAAACCCTAAACCTTAAATACTGGAAAACTAAGGACAGGCATGGGTTGAGGAACAGACGAGGCTGTATGGAACTGACCACGTCTACCAGACCGACACCTACAACGAGATGAACCCCAGGTCTGTGGGATGTTCCCCGGGATTTAGGGCTTAGGGTTTAGGGTGGTTTAGGGTTTAGGGTTTTTGGGTTTTAGTGTTTTAGGGTTTAGGGTTGGGATGTTCCCCCGTATACCAACAGTCCTTCATAGGGATTCTAGTACCTCCCCCCCCCCCTAGTATAGTCCGTACAAAGGACTCTTGGTATAAGGGGGGGAACTTGAAAGGGATTATAGTTCCCCCCCCCCCCCCCCATATTAAGGACTGTTAGTACAAGGGTAACTTGATAGGGATTATAGTACCCCGCCTATTATAGTCCCTAGTAAGGACTTTTGGTATAAGGGGAAACATCCCAGCCGCAGGTCAACGGACCTCAGCTACTTGGCCTCCTCATCCAAGGCCGTGATTGATGCGATGCAGGCGGGAGACAAGGACGCCGTGTGGTTGATGCAGGGCTGGCTCTTCCTCTCGGGCTTTTGGTCGAACGATCGGACTCTCAATCGTGAAAAACGCAACCTTTATGTTGGTAGCAAAATACCTCTAGAGCCCCAAAGTTCGAGCCTTTCTTCCCTTAGGCACTGCGGGGCTAGGTTCGAACATTTTTCTATATTTCCCTTCATCTTCTATATAGTCCTTATGAAGCCATCCACATTTGACTTTTTTTATGGGCCCCCAAACCTGCCCCAGACTGGGCAGAGTAAGGGCCAAAGCCTACCTGAGCGGAGTGCCAAACGACAAGATGATCATCTTGGACTTGGACTCTTCCGACAGACCTATTTGGACGAAGACGAGCTCTTACTTCGGGAAGCCTTTTGTGTTCAACACGCTGCAGCTCCGGGATTCTTGAGAATTTTTTTGAGCACTGTCATTTCTCAGAAACAGCTAAGTTTATGATTGTTGCTAGGGTTCCAAGTTCAGTATAGGCAGAACTATGGCGGTCAGCAAGGCGTCACCGGCAATCTGCCGCGGATCGGCGACGCATTCAAGAAGGCGGGAGCATGCTTAGCTGCAGCTGTTTGTGCTTTTTGTCGGCTACTGTGCCCGTAGTATCTTCTGCAGGGTGTATTGTGCAATGGTTGAGATTCCGTTCCCCTCACAGCATGACACCCTACCTGCCAAATCCTGCACCCCAAAACCCTCAGAACCCAACCAAGCCCTACATCCCTAACCAGAAAACGCTTAGCAGCCCTAAACCCCAAAAAGGCCCAATGTGTAGCCGGCTGAAAAGGCGGTAGGTTCCAGCTAGAGCACGTTTCCCGAGAAGGCGTTGGCCGAGTCTGCGGCACTAAATGGCGTCGGAGTCACGATGGAGGGGATGTGGACGAACTACATCACGTATGACTTTACCCTCTTGCGACTTCTACTGAAAATTTGGCACCTTTGCTCCCCCCCCCCCCCCTACTTCACCCTTTAAAAGGAAACCCTGTAGTAACCCGAGGCCTCCTACCCCAAAATCCTAGACCCTTAATATAGGGGTCGGAATGGTTACTAATATTATTCCCTTATGGTCCCTTTATAATTATACTATACTGCCCCCCCCCCAAAACCCTATTCTAATTCTTAAGGCCCCTATGTTATATAGCCAGTAAGGCAAGCCTGGGGCCGAGCCGGGGATGCTCCAGAGTTCGCCCGCACCTTCGGCGCGCGGCGGTACGGCGCGGCTGCGTCGGCAGATGGGGCGAGCTTGTGGCTGGACCGCGGGTTGAGAATCACTTTGTTTCAATGTCTTAATTATTGGTTCGCTTTTTTTGTTCAGCTATTTAGGGATTACAAAGCAGGGAGTTCCGCTTCATGGTGTGAATCGGGCCCTTCTAGAAGAGGAGCCGCGAAACATTTTCCTAGATGTGCTCTCCAAGAACAGCCAAGGTGGGCCGACTTGTACAACTTGGCGTACGCAGCCAGCGGCTTGGTAAGCCCAGTGGTATACCCTTTTCCCTTCTTTTTTTTTGGGGGGGGGGGGTTCAAGGTTCCCTTGCAGAAAGTAACCCACCCCAAAAAAAGGCTGCCCTCACTAGAAGATGTTCATTGGACTATACCAAGGCGGTGAGCCCCGGTCCGGCACACTGGCGAGGCGCCCCTCGCTGCCTCAGGGCGCGCTGGCGGCGCACGCGGAGCTGCCCATCTCGATGCAACTGCGAGTCAGTGCTGCCTTAGAGCCCAACCAGGATGGGCTATTAGGCCCAAGAATCCCCACAACCAACCCTATAAAGCCTGCAAAGGGCCTTTTGTTACAGGGTTATAGGGTATAGTAGCCCATAGTAGCCCGTCCTGGAAGATTCAGGAGACCATGGTTTCGATGACAGGCCCGTTCCGCTTCGGCTCCATATGGTCGAGGATGCTGTCGCAGTTGGCGCCGAAGGCTGCGTCGGTGAAGGCCTTCCGATTCGACTTGGTCGATGTGGGACGCGAAGTTCTCACTGAGGCTTTCGACCGCCAGCTTGCGAGCCTGAAAGCAGCAGAGGTCGCCAAGGATGTGAGCAAGGCACAAACAGCACAGCAGGGAATGTTGGAGGTACTAGACGACCTGGACTCCTTGCTGTCGACGGACGAGAACTTCATGCTTGGGCGTTGGTTGGCATGGGCGGAGCAGTGGGCGCACACAGATGCTGAGCGCCAGCTGCTGCTCTTCAACGCAAGGAACCAGCTCACCCTCTGGGGCCCCACGGGACAGATCCTGGACTACGCCACAAAGTCATGGGGGGGCTTGGTCAAGGGCTTCTTCCGACCGCGCTGGGCCTTGTTCTGTGAGCAGGTCATCGACGCCATCAAGAGTGGGAAGTCCTTCGATCAGGCGGCCTTCAACGCGGACGTGCTGGCGAAGGTCGAGCTCCCCTGGCAAAACAGCACGGAGAAGTACCCGAGCGAGCCGACCCAGGATGCCATCGAGGTGTCCAAGGCCTTGTACCAGAAGTATGTCGCCACAGCGACACTTCAGGCTGTTGTGGTGTGATGGCGCCTTCTTGGAGTGTCATGTGCCGGCGCTACGAAGCTGTGGTGATGGTTTCAAAAGTCAGGCCATGTTCATCCAAGAACCTTCTGGGACCGGGGGCGAGCAATGTGCATAAGTGGGATAAGCAATACTAATTCTAACCATATCTAGCAATGATAGAGGCTGCAAATCCAGCCTTGAGCCCCGCCAAGGTGCTAACTGAGACTTAGGCACCCAAGCGCTTTCCCCTCTTTCCTGTACTGCCAATGAAATGTCTGTGGTTTATTGTAACGTTCATCTTTCTGATAGCTTCATCAGTCCAAGTACCTTGTCATGTTTTCGGGCATGTTCAGCTTTGGGAGAAGGTAGGTGAAGACATTGGATGACAAGTCCTTGGCGGCTTTGCTGACTGCACGAAGTGAGCAGTGCCCCTAAATGAGAAAAAACCGGTGTTGCAAGCGACTTAGAGACAAAGACAAGTCAAGTGGTTGGCACCATCTGATATAATATACTAGGCAAGCCCTTGAGATATTTTGTAGAGTTGAACATATATTGTTTGGGAATGTTGTTTGAGGAGGTTATGCTTCGGACAGCTTCTTGTGCGACAACCTCCATGCCTCCAGGACGTTATGCCAGGTTGCCATTCTCTCGTTTCATTCCCAGCGCAAGGCTCAAAGTCTCCAAGGGTGTATCTGCGCACATCCCTTGCAACATCCCGGAGCCACATGAAGGCCGACATGCAATACGTGTGGTTCAACACTCACTTGTAATGGCCCTACCGAAGCAATCGCATACAGTCTCAACACAGCTCTTGCAGCATTTAGTTTTTTCATTCCAAGCCGCCTCGGCTGGGCTTGGGGCCCCAGAGTGGTGCAAGATTGCAGGTAAGGTTGTGCGAGCGTTGGCGTGCTGCGGCCGGAACACGTGGTTTGATCGTGGCTTGCAGAACATCTGTGCAAATCACTGAGGTCAAAGGATCTAGTATGCCAGAGGGGAACATCGCCCCGGAGAAGTTCGCTCGAAATGGAGCAGAGGCCTGATTGACAACCGGCAGGCGTATCAGTTCATACTTGACTTAGTAGTTGAGTAGGTAACCCTTCGGGGTACATATATTCCTACCAGAATTGAGAGGTTAATCTGTTGTGGCCCAAGGAAAGCAACTAGGCTTATGTTCTGGTTGCGTGTTTCGTGTTCTGTTGAAGCGAGTGCCGTATCACACCTAAGATCAAAATGATGCACTGCCCCAGGATCAAGCACCTCCTCGTGCCAACATGTACCGGTATCCCCAGCTTTCGCATGACATGGCATGGGGGTTGCGCATCCCCGCATGCAAGAGAGCCTGATCCTCAAGTAGGCATCCCCGTAGCTCTCTTGCCCTCAACCCTCAACCCTAAACCCGAAAACCTATAACCCTTAACCTTTAACCCTTAACCCTTAACCCTTAACCCTAAACCCTGAACCCTAAACCCTCAACCCTAAACCCTTAACCCTTAACCCTTAACCCTTAACCCTTAACCCTTAACCCTTAACCCTTAACCCTTAACCCTTAACCCTTAACCCTACCCGGCTCCCACCTGCAGGAAGTGCTCTACCGGAACGAGATGCGCAACACCAAGCAGGAGGGCTTTGCTTCGGTGTTCCCAGCCCTCGGGATTCGACTCGAAGGTTCATGGGTACAAGTTTAGGGTTTAGGGTTTAGGGTTTAGGGTTTAGGGTTTAGGGTTTAGGGTTTAGGGTTTACCCCTTACCATACGAACTATAGTTAAGGGACTTATAACTAAAAATTAAGGATCCTTAGAGCCCAATTTAGGGTCCTTATAACTTTACTTATAACTAGGGGGGCCCCTCTTACAAGTAAAGAAACTTGCAGCATATCACAAACATCTAATTCAGCATCTATGACCTCGATTTATTACGACAGCGCAAACCCCACACAGCGAAAGACCATATGAGGACACGAAGAGCATGTCTAGCCAGTATGCAACTTCAGGGGAGTACACTTCATGGGGTCGCGAAAGAACGACTTTGATGCCACTGCAGCCCCAGACGTCCTCCGCGTGCTACCTTAAGTACTACGAAAGTCGATCTTCGAGCCGCTGGACATCCGGACGTCCCCGACGCACTACGTTTGTACTACAAAGTCGACTTTTGAGCCACCAGAGCTCCAGAAGTGCTCCAGATGTCCTCCAAAACACCAAAAGCGACAGTTTCGCATCACCCCAGACGTCCAAAAGCGTCGACAGCTACCAAGATTGCGACGTCGATGCGCGCGGCGCCTAGGTGGGAGCGCGATGTCCAACATCGCAACTTGAAAATCCTCTCAGAACGGCCACGCGAAGCCATGCAGCGGCCCAACCGCAGGAAACTGTGCACATGCCACGTTTTGAATGCAATCGAAAAGTGCACGAGACTTAGGCAGAGAGCACGGTTTCCACCTGCAAACACCAGAAGATGCGCACGGGATCCACGAAGCCTAAACATGTAATTTACGATGTTTGAAGGGACCACCGCTCGAGGAATAGCGTCCGGCGCATCGTGGGGCGCCATGCAGCCAAGCATCAATCTATATAGGACCTTTTTAAGTACTCTGAAGGTAAGAACCTCTAGTGTTAGCACTCTGTTTGGGGAATAATTGCCCATGATCCTCAAACAGGTTTAAGGCCTTGAGACCGGTTGAGAGGGGCCTTTGTCTTCGGTTTGCTCGGCTAAGGCCCTCGACCCGCGACTAGCCTCCAAGATGTCTCGAGCTATACCCTGACAGTGGGTTTAGGGTTTAGGGTTTAGGGTTTAGGGTTTAGGGTTTGGGGTTTAGGGTTCAGGGAACATCCCTAGATTAAAACCTCATAGAAGCCAGAAGAAGCCTCCAGGATCCGGACCGACTGCCACGTTGGAGGCGAAAAACTTCAGCCGCGTGCGGGCGCCAGCTGCTCCGGAGAGACGGTTTTTGGGTTCAGGGTTTAGGGTTTAGGGTTCAGGGTTCAGGGTTGTCGGGGTTGAGGAGTTCAGGAATTCGGGTTTGGGGTTGAGTTTAAGTCGCGCGAAGCCCTGACAGCATCTAGACACTGTAACCTTATCGAACTTATCAGGAGCCTGTGCCTACAGCGATCACCTGGTTACCTAAGCAAGGTTCCTCCCTTGGTGCGGGGGGGAGGGCATGTAATGACCTGGTTCAAGGGAAGCCAAGGCTCGAAGATATTCCTAGTCATGAAAGAACCCCCTATGCTGGGTTGGAGAATTACAACCACAGGTGCCAGTTCTTTGGTTCGTCCATGGTACGGCCAGCCTTGCTTAGACCTCTGCGGCAGCTAGCCCACAATTGGCATCCTGCGAGAAGGGTTTTGCAATTTGTGAGCGGGGCTTCTCGGAGTGCAGCATGCCTTGCAGCAAAGTTGCTCAGAGTTGACTTTCTGAGCACGTTCAACAGGGTGCTAGGCGGTCTCCTTCAATTGCTGCTTCTGCCACTGATGCCAGTGCTCATGTCGAAGCACTCGCAGCACACAGAAACCGTGACAACCGTTTCGCAGAGGCCACAACTACTTGTGTTTTGTGGGCACAGTTAAGCCATGGCGCTGTCGGGCTATTCCCCGTCTGTGGGCACTGCTGTGCTTGAGGCAGGGTGGTCAGCCTGAATCACTCCCAACTGTGCATAAAGTCTCGTAAGCGGCACAATGAGCCTCGCATAGCCTCGCTATGGTCTGGCCTTTCCCAAGTTGATACAACCTGCAGCAAGTCGTTCACCGAGTCTCCTGAAGATCATGATCCGTCGAAGATACTTTGACGTTGCAAGTAATTCAGATGGCATACTGACGGCATACTGACGGCAGCTTCATGAAGAATGCTGGGTTCTGCCAAACCCGGCCTCACACCCTAACCTCGAACCATGAACTCTGAACCCCATAACCTGAAGCCCGAAAACAAGAAATTTCTCATGACAAACCCTAAACCCTAAACCCTAAACCCTAAACATGAGCCCTGATGCCCTAAACTCTGTAGGCCGCTGCACACCGGCAGCCCAAGATCGACCGCGCCCGGCCGGATGCCGGTGATCGGAAGGATGGCTGAGGGTTTAGGGTGCTTCGGGTTTGGGTTCGAGGGTTTGGGGGTTTGGGGGTTTAGGGAGGTTGTCGGAGACTGGGCTATCCCCTACTACGGGAGTATCCGAAGTATTCCTTAAGTCCCCTCAGGAACCCTATTCAAAGTTATCACCTCTTGCCGGAGGAAGGGCCCTCAAGCCCCATAAACCCTAAAGCCTAAACCAGAAACCTAAGGGGGGGGTTCAGGGTGTATTGCAGTCGCAAGCCCCCAAGCTCTGAGCCCTTGCGTTTAAGGATTTAGGGATTTGGGGATGTGGGCCTTCGGATGTAGGGTTCAGAGCTCTAAGAGGTGGGATGAGGGCTGCGGCTACAAGTTGTTTGGGACAGCGCGTGGAAGTCTCGTTCAGGTTCGGCTGGCTATGCCTTTCTCTATCTGAACTCTAAGCCCCGCATTGCCTTGGTCGGCGCTCATTCTCCTCCAAAAAACCGAATTCTTACGAATTGACCCTAAGACCGCCAGACCCCAAGTGTTAAGGAACTTGAAAACTTTGTGAACATAGCGACTTATCTGTATATATATATATATATATTGTATTATATATATATAATGTTCGCATTACCTTAATGCAAGAGCTGAAAACTGTTTAGTTGCAGCTATTTTCCCTTGTATGAGTCGGCAGTATAATGAGAATATTCCGGCTACCTATTCGATTTACCCTAAACCCTAAACCCGAAACCCTAAACCCTAAACCCTAAACCCTAAACACTAAACCCTAAACCCTAAACCCTAAACCCTGCGCCCCGACATTAGCAGGAGCCCGGTCTGCGCTCAGCGCTGGCTGCAGCGTTGCTCGCGAGCGGCGCGGTGGCGGCGCAGCGCCGCAGCCGCATGAGCCGCCGCTTCCGAGACGAGGCGTTTTGCTTGTTTTTGGGGCTTAGGGTTTAGGGCTTAGGGTTTAGGGTTTAGGGTTTAGGGTTTAGGGTTTAGGGTTTAGGGTTTAGGCCGGGGGGGGGGGTTTGGGGTTTGAGGCTTTTGGAATTTAGGGGGTTTAGGATTGGTGGGGTTTCGTGGTTTTCGTGGGTTTGGGGTCAGGTATATAGGGTTTTTTGGGCTAAGGGCTTCAGACTTGTTTTTTGCGGTTTAGGGGTTTAGGGTTTAGGGGTGTAGGGTTGATGATTGAGGGCAGCTTGCCTGCAATTCCGGGGCCTGTGGGGACTCGTTGTTGATTTTGTTTGGGGTCTATTTGGGGGTTTATGAAAATGAGGAACACCTAATATAGATCCCCAGGTCCCCAAACAGTAGGATCCCCTGATAAAAAAGGACCCTAATAAGGTACTCCCAAATTTCGGAAACCCCCATTTTGGGGGCTGCTGGTTTAACGAGAGACTGCTGGAGCGCGCTGGAGGAGGGCTGGTGCGGGGGCTAGCGCCGATCTTGTCTTTCTTTGTTGAAGCTGCATATAGCCTTGAAAGGTATACTGTAGTGCTTGAGAGTCTTACGTGTGCTTAAAAGAGCGGGCAATACTCTAGGTCTCCACTTTCCCACCGACTTCAGGAGTGCGAACCGCCCCTGTAATCTGCGAACCCTAAACCCTAAACCCTGAACCCTAAACCCGAAACCCTAAGCCCTAAACCCTAAACCCTAAACCCTAAACTAAACTTTTAAACCCTAAACACTCAGCCCTTCAGAGATTGGTCGCGATGGCCCGGTGGCCTGTCAGGAGCAGATGCCCGCCGACCCCGACTTGCAGGATGAAGCATCTTGGGCTGTGTAGGGTTTAGGGTTTGGGGTTTGGGGTTTAGGGTTTAGGGTTTAGGTTTAGGGTTTAGGGCTTATGGTTTAGGGCTTAGGGCTGAGGGCTTAGGGCTTAGGAGTGAGGGTTTAGGGTTCAGGAATTAGGTGGGCTCAGAGTTTGGGCATTCGGCTGTAGGGACTGTAGGGTTCGGGGGCATCTTGTGCGAAGCTTGCTTGGCTTGATATGGGTCCGGCACCGCTTCGACCTGCCAACTCGCCTGCGCAAGTTCCCTAACCCCCTAAGACCCTAAACCTTTGCCATAGTTGGGTTTTGAAGGGTACTTAAACTCCCACAGGAATAGAAACTCAAATCTTTAATACTATCCCAGCCATGAACTAGAAGCCATGTATCGAGGCCTGGTCCTCTTTCCGGAAGATCATGAGCAAGACCTCAAAGGAGGACGCTGAAGATGCGGAAGCCCTAGGACGCCAATTAGCTTTGCACGGCGCAGGGTTGATTGTTCAGCGTTGAGGGCTTTGGGTCAATAATTATGATCTCCTTTGGGCTTATTTAGGGTTCAGGGTTTAGGGCTTAGGGCTTAGGGCTTAGGGCTTAGGGCTTAGGGCTTAGGGCTTAGGGCTTAGGGCTTAGGGGCTTAGGGTTGAAAGTACCAGCATGGGCTATTACATAACCCCTTAAAAAGGGTTGTTTATGGGGATCGTAGCCCATCCTGGTAGAGCAGGGAAGAATCCTTCGTCGCTGAGTAGGCATCCTTTACAGTAACCTTTTGGGACACATATAACCCTAACCATAATTGAAAGGTTAACCTTCTCATGCAAAAACATATAATCCTTCCATAATTGAAAGGTTAAACCCTAAACCCTAAACCCTAAACCCGTTTTGGCCCAGGGTACTCAGCAACTAGGATAACAGGGAGACCCCCCAGTCGAAACCATGCTTGAGAATCGACCAGGTGACCGTTTTCTGAAGACGAGTAAAATCTTTATAGCACCCTAAACCCTAAACCCTAAACCCTAAACCCTAAACCCTAAACCCTAAACCCTAAACCCTAAACCCTAAACCCTAAACCCTAAACCCTAAACCCTAAACCCTAAACCCTAAACCCTAAACCCTAATCAACATGTCTTCAGCTTCTCAGGTCGAGCTTAGCCTTCCCGTGCATCAGCCCACAGGCTTGTCGAGATTGAAGAGCCACCGGCAAAGTATGCCGAACCTGAACTGGGTAGCCCAGTGGGGTTTAGGGTTTAGGGTTTAGGGTTTAGGGTTTAGGGCTAGTGGTGCCCTTTTGGCCTTTTTGTTGGTTCAAGGTTCCCTGAGAAAAGTAACCAACCCCAAAGAGGGCACCCTTTCGGTAATGTGGCTACTGTGCTACCAAGTGAACACCCCAAGCTTTGGAAGAGTTTATCGCCCGACTGTACCGCCTTGAAACCTTTTGTCAAAACCTACATCATTGCCAATCTTTTCCCCTTGTAAACTCTATATGGTTTCCATACAGCCTACCCTGGATACCCTTCTACAGTTAAATTCCCCAAGCCCCAATCCCCAAACCCCAAACTTCCCAAACCCCCCAAACCCCCCAAACCCCCCAAACCCCCCAAAGCCCCCAAACCCCCCAAACCCCCCAAACCCCCCAAACCCCCCAAACCCCCCAAACCCTAAACCCTTGCACCCTGCAGCTACAAGCTCTTGGAGTTTCAGACTTCGGGGGATGGTTCGGGATGCGTCAGATCGATCGCAGTGGCAGATCTTCTGTTTCAACACCGGATGCCGCAACTATAATGGCAACATTAAAAAAAGTCATACTGTATGTATATTCATATAGTCATAGCTTTATTCAGACCGTAAGATAGTCAGATAATCAACATAGATATCAACAAGAATAAAACCTCACAGCTCTAGAGACAGCTGGCGGAACCATAGCTTGGGCAGGTTCCATCTCAACCTAACTCTGCGGCTGCATGCGAAGCACCACGCTAGCCTGCAAAGCTACCCTAAACCCTAAACCCTAAACCCTAAACCCTAAACCCTATACCCTGTGTACTACAGCCGGTAAAACCCCAAGCCGGAAGCTTCATCAGCAAGCACCGCCGGAGGTTGGAGCGCTTTTCGCCCCGTGAGCGTGGTGGCGGCGAAGATTTCCGGAAAGTTGAAGCTGGGCTTCAGTCGCGGAGTAGTCCCTTATTCCCCTTTTTTAGGGCTCAAATTCCTTATGATCCCCTTTAAACCAAACGCGGTACCCTTTTTACTCCTATGTCACTCCTGGGTCTAGGTTGCTCTCCGGCGTTTGAGTGAAAGGCAACAAAACAGCCTGCACAGAGACAGGACTTTGCAGTGCAATGCAACGTCAGACAGCCTTCCATGATATCGATGGCCCCTGGTGCCATGCCGAAGACATCCGAAAAAACCCAAACCCCAAACCCCAAACTCCTAACCCCAAACCCCAAACCCCAAACCCTAAACCCTAAACCCTAAACCCTAAACCCTAAACCCTAAACCCCAAACCCTAAACCCTAAACCCTAAACCCTACATGATAGAAACCTCCTTCCACTTGTTCATGCCCCTGCCCGGCCACGATTCCACTAAGATAAGGCCGCAAAATCATTTCAGAAAAGAAGAACATGGTAATATAATACTCTGGTAGTAGAAGTACCGCAGAACATCGTAATATAATGATACCATCATATTGTAAGATATTTATGTGCTTATTTCGTAATGATACATAATGGTACAACCATATAATGATATAGTGGTGCAAAGTTGTACACTGAAACAAATGACATAATGAGATACTGATATGATGATGTAATTATACATAGTGTAATGGTATAACGGCATAATGATACAATGATACAATGCAATAATGATATCATGATGTCATCATATCATAATATCATCATACCATAATATTAAAACATCAGAGTCAAGGTATCCGAGTATCACAATATCGAAATATAGTAAGAGTGACAACTATTTTTCATACCTTTCTCACATACAAAAATAGACTTGTAACAGTAAAATATCATAGTTATATTAACATATGTATTTTCAGAAATATGCTATCATGAAAGTATACTATTTTTACATATAGAAATTTCGTATACGATTATGACAATATATTAATATAAACATATAACAACTTTTGGTATATCAATTTCAATCTAGCCATCCAACCATCAAACATATTGATATAATGCTATCATAGTACAATAATAGATTAGTAAAGATATACCCTCTTACAGTTATCAAACAGTATCAATCAAAAGTTAAGATGTTGTGATCTAGTATTATGGTAATATACCGATGTAATGTTGCACTAGTATGATAGCCCAACGGTATACTCATGCGATGATACACTAGTATGCTTAGAAATAGATATAATGAGACAATGTTATGATAGCATAATGATACAACATTATGATAGTTGAACGATATAGTGATATAATAGTTATGATCAAATATCGATATATTGAGAACATAGCGATATAGCGATCGAGATGTCGGCAGTTTCTGAGGAACGCAGAGCTCGCCAACGGCCGCCTGGCGCTGCTGTCGGCCTCCCGGGAGCCTCGGCCAGGCTTTGTGAGCGGAGCTTTAGGGGTTTAGAAGGTTTCGGGTTTAGGGTTGAGGTGGTTCGGGGTTTAGGGTTTAGGGTGGAGGGTTGAGGGTTTAGGGTTTGGGGTCTAGGGTTTAGGGTCTAGGACAGTCAGTGGATTCAATTCACGACACTCCGTAAGCTTGAGCCGAATGTGGCCTTGGTTCCGGCCAGCAGGCTGTCACAGGTGAATTGCCTAGTTGAACTTCCCACTTTGGTTGTGGGAGGGGATGGAGGACGCACCTCTCTCGGCTCAGTGTCGTGCTGTGCTGGTGAAGCGACACGTCCACAGCACACACCATATCTTTCAAACATGTTTCGAAGTATGTCCGAGTTCCCGCAATTATAACCTTGAAGCCCCAAGGCCCCAAAACCACAATCCCCCTCCCAAAAGCCGAGGACCTTCAGGTGGAGGTGCGCGCTAAGCCCACCGAGGCCGTTGTTTTTGTTTGGGAGGGGAGGACAGGGTTTAGGGTTGAGGGTTTAGGGTTTCGGGATGTTTCGGGTTTAGGGTTTAGGGCTTGGGGGGGTTGGGAAGTGTGCCGTGGCCCGTGGGCTCTAAGCGCTTAAAGCCAAGAGTCGGGGTTGGAGGCAAAGGCGGGATCGTCGGACTCCAGGGCTATTTCCGTCTGAGGGCTTGAACGGGTTCAGGGCTTACCTGGCTGCAAACTTCTGGGTTTAGGATTTCGAGTTTATGGTTTAGGATTGAACGCTGTGAGCCTGCGAATTCTAATTCTGAAGGACATCAGGGACTGTCTCCAGGGTTTGCAGGTTACATGTCGGTGCTTGGACATTGCAACCCCAAGCCCGACACCCTGAATCCCATCAGCCCTGAGGCAGGAGCCCCTAGACCGAAATCCTAAACCCTAAGCCTTGAACCCTAAACCCTAAACCCTAAACCCTAAACTCTAAACCCGCACGTAGACCTCTGATATCTTCTGCGCGGACCAGGAGGAGATACAAGCCGCCCGGGAGGCGCGGAAGAAGTTCGACCTGCCACTCGCCTTCCGCACGGCTGGGAGGGCTTAGGGTTTAGGGTTTGGGGTTTAGGGTTTAGGGTTTAGGGTTTAGGATGTAGGGTTTCGGGTTTAGGGTTTGTTTAGCGCTCAAGGTTGGGATGTTCCCCCCTGTATTTTAACAGTCCTTAGTAGTAGGGATTAAAGTAGGGGCGCAAGGCTTCAAAACTCTGATGCCTCACCCTGAACTTTCCTTCCCTAAGCTCCACCCCTTAAGCACCAAATTCCCCCTAAACCTTCAACCCGAACCCTAAACCCTAAACCCTGAACCCTGAACCCTAAACCCTAAACCCCCTAAACCAAACCCCCAAAGCCCCTGAGCCCAAGGAAGGAGCTGCCAAGCGACGAGGGGTACGGCTGGGACCCTGACCAGGTCGATCAGGAGAAGCCGCCGCCGAGAAGCAAGTAGCATGCTTGCTTGCTTAGGGTTTAGGGTTTAGGGTTTAGGGCTTAGGGTTTAGGGTCTTTCTCTGCTTCTCTTCTCTCCTTTTCTCTTTCTCTCCGACGTTTTCAGGGTTTCAGACTGCAGGGTTGAGGTGTCGGTTTTCGACCCTACACCCCAACACGAAATACAGCAAGGAAACGTCAAGTGAACATGCCATACTGCCATGAACAGATAAGTCATTTGTTTGTCATAAAATCAGAAGCCAGCAATAGCAACCCTTAAATGAAATTCTCCTAAACCCTAAACCCTAAACCCTAAACCCTAAACCCTAAACCCTAAACGCATCAGACCCGTCCGCGCAGCCCAGGTTCGATCCCTCCGAAGAGGTGGGGGTCACTGAGCCCCTGGGCTTCTTCGACCCAGCGGGCTTTGCCCAGGTCGGCGATGCTGAGGGGCCTGGGCCTTAAGGGCAGAGTTGGGGTTTGTGGTTTAGGGTTTAGGATTTAGGGTTTAGGGTTTAGGGTTCAGGGTTCAGGGTTTAGGGTTGTTTAGGATTTAGGGTCTAGGGTTTAGGGTTGGGGTTTGGGGTTTAGGGTTTAGGATTTAGGGTTTAGGGTTCAGGGTTTAGGGTTGTTTAGGATTTAGGGTTTAGGGTTTAGGGTTCAGGGTTCAGGGTTTAGGGTTTTAGGATTTAGGGTTTAGGGTTACGGTTCAGGGTTTAGGGTTGTTTAGGGTTTAGGGTTTAGGGAGGCTTCAGGGTTTCGGTTTTAAGGGGTTAGGGACCGTATTATGCTGTATTTTCTTCGACGATTTGCTGCCAAAAAGCAGACAGAAGATAGCTGCAACATCAACAGACAGGCTTGAGAATTGCCGAGCTTTCAATTTCAAAACTCAGCCCGTCGGGTTTGTGTCCTCTTGAACAGGAGGTCTAAACCTGTCTGAACCCTAAGGGTCCATGTACCTATATAGTATATACTTGACCCCTAAAGCCACTATATGGTAACCCCTTCAAACCCGAAGTATATACTATTCAGGCACATCGACCCTTGGGGTAAAGGCTCAATCCCTAAACCCCAATCCCTAAACCCTAAACCCTAAAACCTCAACCCTAAACCCCAAACCCCAAACCCCAAACCCGAAGCCCCCTGCTTGCTCTTCCCAGGTTCCGCTTCAAGCGAGCAGCAGAGATTAAGCACGGTCGCGTGGCCATGATGGTGGCGCAGCTGCGTTCAAGACCACAGGGGCTTGGCTTTGGGGTTTGGGGTTTGGGGTTTAGGGTTTAGGGTTTAGGGTTTAGGGTTTAGGGTTAGGGTTTAGGGTTTAGGCTTTGGGGTCTTTGGGGCGCTATCATAAGAGGGCTTGAGGCAACTCTATTGTGCATCTTCCTTGCCAGTAGAGGTTGCGGCCGGAAATCCCTTCCTAGGCGCTTTCCAACCGTGGCGTAAACGCTGCACATGTCTCCCGGACTCGTACTTGTACTCGTACTCGTAGGGGTTTGGCCTGTAGAGACCCCCTGCGTGGCTCCTGCACTAAAACAAGAGAATCCCAAGGCAACACCCCTAAATCCCTCAACCCTTAAACCCTTAAACCCTTAAACCCTTAAACCCTTAAACCCTTAAACCCTTAAACCCTTAAACCCTTAAACCCTTAAACCCTTAAACCCTTAAACCCTTAAACCCTTAAACCCTAAACCCTGAACCCTAACCCCTAAACCCCTAAACCCCTAAACCCTAAACCCTTAACTGTAGGCCACAAAGGATGGAGGTTCCCGTTTCCGGCTCGCGGCTCTAACACGGCTCTTTGTCTTCAGTGGGGGTACCCAAAAAGGACCGCATAACTCGTGTGAAGAAAAGCCTCCTAACCCTTGAAGCCTAATCCCTAGTTCATCCCTAATCCCCGCAAGCCCTTAAAACCCTACAAACCCTAAACCCCAAACCCCAAACCCCAAACCCCAAACCCCAAACCCCAAACCCCAAACCCTAAACCCTAAACCCCAAACCCCAAACCCCAAACCCCAAACCCCAAACCCCAAAACCCCAAAACCCCAAACCCCAAACCCCAAACCCCAAACCCTAAACCCCAAACCCCAAACCCCAAACCCCAAACCCCCAAACCCCAAACCCCAAACAGCCGAAACAACAGCAGCCAACCCGGCCTCCGCGAGGCTTCGGTGGGCCTGGTGATCACTCACTGGGTGCGACTGCCGGGATTCGAGATGGCAGGGACACCGGCAGCCCCTACGAAACCTCTTAGGGTTTAGGGTTTAGGGTTTAGGGTTTAGGGTCTACGATTTAGGGGTTTAGGGTCTTGCACCATGTTTTTTTGAGGTGAGTGTGGTATCTTTGGGTTCCGTATAGAACAGATTGGTGAGTGTATGTCTGGGGTTGCCTCTTGGGGATAGGAGTAGTCTAGGGTTTGGGGAGATATATGGTACTTCATTCCCCCATTCCCGTCTCAGCAGCAGACTTCATGTGAAGGCTTGCCCAGGTGTACCTTGATAGGGTTTTTAAAGGGAAGGCACGAGCAGTCTGCACACACATGCTGGATGGTGGACCCGAAACCTAAACCGAAACCCTAAACCCTAGACGAGGTATCTTTTCTGAAACGTCCTTCGCGAGGAACTCTTGGTCTAGCCAGTTCAACACAATCGTCACGCTGCCGGCGCTCTACTTTTTCAGCAGCCTGGATTGAACAGCTTCTACTTTAAGAACCCAGCACCTACTTTTATGCAGATATAGGAACCGCGTATCATACACAAAAAACAGGTTTTGGGTTCTTAAGGTATGGCCTTCAACACACAATGGCACCCGATGAAGTCCAAGCTCCCAAGTTAAGATGCTGGCCCTTGGGATGGTAAGATCTCTTCCGCCCGACACAGGTTCGCTCCAAAAGGGTGCTGGGGTTTTCAGAAGTGAAGGGTCTACCTCAACCCAAGACCCTCAACCCTAACCCCGGCTAGGCCGGTAAACCGGCAAACCCCAAGCCAGTTCCTAAAACGGCCCAAACCCAGGCGTGTTCATTGTCATCATCCTGTGGTTGGAGCTCAGCATCTGGGCACAGGACCTGCCACAAGCAGGGCTTAGGGTTTGGGGTTTAGGGTTTCGGGTTTAGGGTAGAGGGTTGAGGGTTTAGGGTTTCGGGGTTTGGGGGGGGGGGGGGGGGGGAGGCTAAGTAGCATGTAGAACCCCTGCAGTGCATACAACCCCCACTTTGAACTCTCCATGCCCCCCTTCAATCCTTCAAGTACAGCGGCAGCTGCTCACAATCTAAGTTATGGTGGGGCTCCTTCTTATATGCCGGCCCCCTGCTTTTGAGTGTACCCCAAAAAGGGACCCCAATTTAGTGAACTGACTAAATATTATGCTCAGTAAGGGTCTCTCGACCTGGTCCATCCCCTCAAAGGACTTTTGGAAGAACCCCGTATATTGGGAGGATAGTTCCCCCTTGTTCTAATCCCTATTAAGGTCTGGTAGTATAAGGGGGAAGATTGACATCCCCACTCTTATATAGCGTTGTTTAAAACAATGCCAGGCGTTTGAAATTGCAGGCGCCCGGTCCCCTGTAGACTCTAGAGCCGCAACCTTAAGCTTGAGAACCCGAAGCCCTAAACCCAAACTCTACATGCTAAACTCTAAACCTTTAAACCTTTAAACCTTTAAACCTTTAAACCTTTAACCCTAAAACCCTAAACCCTAAACCCTAAACCCATCAACGCCGAACAGGAGGATGACCGCGAGGCTGGCAACTTCGGAGACCCGCAGCTGGGCCCAACCTCTGGGTGGTCAAAAACCCATTGCTGGTTAGGGTTTAAGGGTTTAAGGGGTTAGGGTTCAGGGTTTAGGGTTACTGCCTTCAAGGCTTAGGGTTTTGGGCGTTTGGCTGGTCAGGCGCTAGGGTTTTTAAAGTCTTCGGATTTAAGGTTTTTTGGCTGCTAGGCTTTTAGGGGCTTCCGGGTATGTGGCGCTTCAGGGCCTTAGGGTTCAGAGGTTCAGGATTTTCAGGAGGGGATCCAGCGTGTCGTTTGGGGTTTGGGCTCCTTGTTGTTAGGGGATCAGGATGTCCCACATGTTGGGGTTTGGGGGCCGCCTAGGGTGTCTGTCACATTTGGGTTAGCTGCTCATTGTGCATGGAACTGCTCTTTTCCAAGGGTCCAAAAGCACTGGCAGCGCACTGGAGGGGCGTAGATGTCAACCCTAAACCCCGAAGCTATAAATCCCAAGCGCCGCCGAAGCGATGAATCTGGAAAGGTGAGCCTGTTCCTTTCATGAGCCAACTGCAGTACAGAAGTAAGAGTCTTATAAAGTTAGGCAGTTCTCTCCTGCTCATGCCAGCCAATCTGGTGTTGACCATGGGGTTTAGGGTTCTACTCTTGAACCAGGCAGTCCCGGCAGAAGATAGGGTACCCGCCCCTAAACCTTAAACCCTAAGCCCAAATCTTGCCGCAGGGCTTTGTGAGGAGGTCTAGCGAGGTGTTCCGCCTGAAGTGCAGAGCTGTTGTCGCTTTTGGGCCTTGGGACGTGCTCCCAGAGTGACCTTTGCTGTGAGATCTACACCGGCATTCATCGCCCCTTGGGCAAAGGATTTCTAATAATACAGGTATATCAAAAATCACAGCTTGTTATGCTGGGACCCCTATTCACACCACGCCTCTCGTCAGGTTGGGACTTGGCATGTACACCACCGAGTGGCGCAATCGCTGCCCGACTGTGTTCTCATGTGTTTTGATGTTGGGTTTTCGGGCCCAGGGCTTGTTTGGAGGTTCATGGGTAGGTATATATAAGTAGGGTCATAAGTACCTGTTTTAGGTTACCTTACTTACAACCCTACTTCTGCCGAACCCCCCCCCCAGGTTTAGGGTTTAGGGTTTAGGGTTTAGGGTTGGAGCTGTCGTGAATCCCCTCACAACTAGAGCAGAATGCAATATAGCTGGCATTGGAACAGCAAGCGCCTGAGAAACAAAGCCAACATTGCCGTCCCTAAACTCTAAACCCTGAGACCCTGAAACCCTGAAACCCTGAAACCCTGAAACCCTTAAACCCTTAAACCCTTAAACCCTTAAACCCTTAAACCCTTAAACCCTTCAACCCTTCAACCCTTTAACCCTTAAACCCTTAAACCCTTAACCCTAAGCATGCCGTGACTCGAAATCTTGCATCAAGGGGCCCTTGCTAAAGATCCCCCAAAGGAACCATAGGGGCCAATTTCACTCGAGGTGATTGGGTTTAGGGTTTAGGGTTTAGGGTTTAGGGTTTAGGGTTTAGGGTTTAGGGTTTAGGGTTTAGGGTTCAGGGTTCAGGGTTCAGGGTTCAGGGTTCAGGGTTCAGGGTTCAGGGTTCTTGTTCAGGGTTCAGGGTTCAGGGTTCAGGGTTTAGGGTCACAACCTTTAAGGTTGCGAGTTTGGACCCCTTGATTGCAAGGAGAAATCAACAACGGCCGCTTCGCGATGCAGCTTGGCAACGGATGCAGAGTCGTGGTTTAGGGTTTCGGGTTCAGGGTTTAGGGTTTAGGGTTGTTTAGGGTGTTGCACTGGACTTGGGGGCGATTCCAGCGTATGTCCTTGGCTTTCAGCGCCGAATCTCCCCCTGCCTGAGTCTAGGCAGCCCCAAGAAGGCCACCTTACCAAACCCTGAACCCTAAGCCCTAAACCCGAAGCCGTAAACCCGGAACCCATACACCTAACCCTGAACTCTACACCGGCCGCATCCTTCTCGGACCTCCCAGCTCTCTCACCAGCCATAAGAGTAAAACCACCTGATGCCCGGGCTGCAGCAGTTGCTTTCCCAGAAGCTTTGAAGCCGTCTTAAGCCGAAGCCTCAACCATATATGGGGGGTCTGAAATGCGGGGTACCTTATTGGGTTACAATGGGAATCCTACTATTTGGGGGAGTCCCTGATTTCGTCAACCCCCCAATTGCCCCAAACACAGATTTTTGAGGTTCGCCACTACTGGCATCATCCTGGCCCAGACCCTCACGGGGAAGGATCGAAGATCGATGCCATGAGTTTCTGGGGTTCAGAACTTGAGGTTCCTCTTGGAAGGCCTGAGAGTTCCTCTTCTTACTCAACATCTGTCACCAGTCTGGGGAACATGCAACTCCGATTTCCTGCCATGAAGGCCTCCTGGTTGTAGGACATTTCCGGCAAGAAACGTGCAGAACGTTGAGCAACAAAACGCTTGTGAACCGCTTTGCTTTGCCTTCGAGCCATGTGATTTAGGTACGAAACCCTATAGACCCTTAATCCTTAACCGATGCCAGCGGCAGTAACTTCAGGGAGCTCCCTTGGCCCTTAGCCGCGAGGATGGTGTCGAACAGCTTGGCCTTTGAGCTCAAAAGGCCAGAGTTGACTCGAGTTGACTTTCAGTTTGTGGCAGTGCATTGCAATTATCTTCAGCATCATCTTGGATATTCTGGGAGGCAACTTCTGCATGGTCCGGTTTGTGGCTGTTTGAGAAGGGCGGCGACAAACAGTGATGGTAGACTTCTGGCGCGGCTGAGCTGCATGTGCCTTTGAAGAGCGCGCGCGGCTGCAACGGCCTCGGCTTTTAAGCAGTTGGGGGGCTGCTTAAAAGGCGGATACCTCTGATTACGACATATATAGGTTCTAACTCAAGTTGTGAATTCGGGCCAGGCATATCCCCCAAAAGACACGAGACCAGCAGCTGCCTGTCCTGTCCGTGTGCGGGGTCAAGGAGGTCCTCCTGGCACCCATGAGGTCTAAGACACTAATCTTCCGAATTCGAGGAAGGTTGCTTGCAAATGTGACGCATGCCGGTGTTGCGTATCTGTTTACATCCACGACTCCACTGTGCTCAGACCAGGTAAGATCCCCCCTTGCAAGCCTTGGAGCTCAAAGTCCGGCTTGAGATGAAGGCTTCACGTAGTAGTCATGTGTGTGTGTGTGTGCGCGTTCCAGTGAAAGGTTAATGCTCCAAGCAAGTGCTTTCACATGTTTGAAGGGTTATCTCTCGGACATGATCCAGCATAATTAGTAGCAAGGTTCTTCATCTGGCTATCCCCTCCCAGTCCTTACAGCGTGTGCGTTGCGGATGTTCCAGACGTTCCTAGTGCCCTTACTGCAACGCCCCAAGTCCCTTAACCCGACATCCCTAAACCCTAAACCCTAAACCCTCAACCCTAAACCCTAAACCCTAAATGATCCGTTCATCCGGGTGCGGCTGCAACGTCTGCCCCGGGGCATCCGGCAACCTCGAGGTCAATATGATTGGTTCAAAATTCGGTACAAGTAGGGCCCTTGTACTACGTCCTAGGCATCTTACGTCGTATCAGGGAGACCCCTTAAAAGGGGACCCTTCTGAACCCTCTGCTGGCCCTCTTAAACAGGGATCTTATTCAGAGGGTCTATCTCCCCAAGGGTCCCCCTAATCGTATCCCCTTTTACCACACTACACCCTAAACCCTAAACCCTAGACCCTAGACCCTAAACTTATAAACCCTAAACCCTAAACCCTAAGCCCTAAACCCTAAACCCTAAACCCTAAACCCTAACCCCTAACCCCTAACCCCTAAACCCTAAACCCTAAGGCGGGCCTTTTACCACTGCAAGGGCCCAGCTTGCAGCTCCTTCCTTGGGCAGCAAGGGGGGAGCCAAAACGAGCGAAATTTTCAGATCAGCTGTCCGCTGATTGCCGCTGCTTTTCGCCGGTTCTCCTGGAGCCTGGCCTAACAGGTCGCAGCATATGGGTAGTTTCCTATATTAGGGTCCCTTTTTTGGGTACCGGAGATAAGAAGAGAGCCCAAGAAGGAACCCTAATTTTGAGTAATTTGGAGAAACCACCCATATCACTCTCCAAGTATCATTTACCCAGCATGATCTAATGCATGCATCAACAGCAAGGTATTCTGACCCAGAGTTGAGAACTTGCGAGCTTTGCCTTTGGGTCCAGGTCTGCAGCTAGAACTTGCGGAGTGATGTATCCAACCGAGCTTGACAGATCTTCAAGTATGCAACTTTTAGGTAGGGCCTTGGGATATGTCATATTTTCCCCTTTGAAGAGGCTCACGTCTCGGAATCCTTTCAGAGGGTTTTGCATGCCATCCTCGAGCTATCACCCGGCTCCACGCCCCATATCATCAGCCAAAGTTCTCCACATTCGGGTCGCATATATAGTAGCGGCACCCAAAAGACCCCAAATAAATCAAAAGAACCCTCAGTATCCTGAGATAGGGCCACCCCTTATATGGTCCCCCCAAAGGCTCTAATCCTGATCATCGGAACCCTGGTGCGGATCTGCAGTGTGGTCTAGGATGACATGCTTGAAGGTTTATATGGAGGTGGTTATAAGTAGGCAATGAGCTACACGAGACCCTGAATTCAGGCACTTGTAACACTACTTCTGCGCTACCCATGACTCTTCAAGTGGGGGCTCCTTAAAACTGGTCTTGACAGCTGGCACCAATTCTTAGGAAGACAGCCGCGGACTCTCCCTCGCAAGCAGAGTGGTGCTGTCGCTTGATATACGGCCTTTCTTGATATGGGCGGGGCTTGTAGATGCTTAATCTAGAGCTTATGGGGCTTATTGTGCAAAAGTGCAAACTTTTGAAAGGTCCACTTGCTCCCCTTTACAACGTAATGGACAGCTGGTGACTCTGACCTCTTTGTCGACTCTGGCGTGTGGGGAGGGCGGCTTTGCTTCCATTGGCGCGTGGAGAGGCTGCGTTCACTAAGTCATGCCTAGTCAAGGGCATGTTCCTGCTTCTCTCCCCGCTGCCAACATTCTCTTGCCTAGTCGCACTGGAAGTGCGCTGTTTCGAACTCCGAGAGACTTTGCCGATTGGATGTGCTTCTCCGCTGCCCCTCTCTGAGAGGGCGGGGACTTGCCATACAGGAAAAGGGTTTGGGGTTTGGGGTTTAGTGTTCAGCGACACTGCATCGCCCTTTGCTGACGGCTGCACTTCCAGATTCCTAAACCTGAGTATATGGGAGAACATCCTAAACCCCAAACCCCAAATCCCCAAAACTAAACCCCATAGCCCTCTCGGCTCTCATTTTTGGGGCCCAGGTGCTCGAGTCTTCCGCCAGCCGCGACCTTAACCCCCATGATGATGGTAAACACACGTACATGCATGGAGAAAGTAAAGAAACTCGAATTGAAAATGAAGCAATACATAGTTACATACATATATATATATACATACAAAAGCTATATGTATACGTATATACATATATACATGTGTGTGTGTGTGTGTTTGTATGTGTTAAGTTTTTAGTACAGAGCTGCGGAAGGCCCTGCGGGTAAGTACCACCAGCTTCAGGTGACCCTCTCGGACGACGGCTCTGAGGCCGCCACATGCTGAGACTCCCCAGCGATGCCTCATTGCGTTTGGGGAAGCCACACCTCTCCCATCAGAAGATTCCTAGTCCCAAGCCCTGAACCTAAGCCCTCAAGCCTAGAAACCCTAAACCCTTAACCCTTAACCCCAAACCCCTAACCAACCGAACACCTGAACTCCGGGTCCAACTGCGCTAGCCCTAGAGCTACTCCACCAAGCCCCCACGCCCCGAGCCTATAAACCCTAAACCCTAAACCCTAAACTCTAAACCCTAAATCCTAAACCCTAAACCCTAAACCCTAAACCCCCAACCACTGCCTCTCCTGGCCAGCCCGACCTGTCGGAGAACTTCGAGCCCGAGGCCTCTCTGCACTGGGGTTTTTGGGGGTTTTGGGTGTTTGGGATTTTTGGGGTTTTGGGGTTTAGGGGTTTAGGGTTTAGGGTTTAGGGTTTAGGGGGTCAGGGGTTCAGGGGTTTAGGGGTTTAGGGTTTCGGGCTTTAGGGGCCGTCTGGGTCTGTAGGTTTTCGGGTTTGGGGTTTGGGGTTTAGGACTTCGTGAGTGAAGGTTTAGTCTTTGGGTCCTGGGGTTTAGTTTCAGGGTTTAGGGTTTTGGGTGCAGGGTTTCGGCGTTTTGGGGGTTGAGGGTTGGTGTTTGCGTTTTTGAGGCTTAGGGTGTCTTTGCCAGATAGTCGGACACCCAGTGGATCCTGTACTCAGATTCCGTTCTTTTGCGTGTTGATCCCTGATTCGAAAAGAATAATCCTATGTTTAATGCCATTGCAAGTGAGCCCAACTTTTCTTACGTTGCTGCGGACACAAGTATGAAGGGTTTAAGGTTTGGGGTTACAGACTAGAAACTCTGTGTGGTTGAGGCTTGCGGTCTTTGGGGGGCCATCTACAGTACATCTTCGCAGCAACATCTTCGCAGTAGCCCTAAACCCGTAGCCCTAAACCCTAAACCCGAAACCCTAAACCTCGCAGTAGCCCTAAGCCCTAAACCCTAAACCATTTGGCGCCGCGCGGGAGGAGGTGCTCGAGGCAGCTGAGGACGTCTCATTGTCCCAGGCGTGCGGCTTTCGTGGCTGGGGAGGGTTTAGGGTTTCGGGTTTAGGGTTTAGGGTTTAGGGTTTAGGGTTTAAAAGTTTAGGGGTTCATATTAATTTCAGGGTTATACGGTTGCAGGGTTTCAGGCGTTAAGGTTAGAGCTTAAGGGTGTTAGGCCTCAGGGTTTTGCAGGATGTCTTGGGGCTTCCTGGTTATAGGGTTTGAGGGTCTTAGGGTAGTCGGGTTTTGGGGTGTCAGGGTTTTTTGGTTGGATGAGCTAAACCCTAAACCCTAGTGTCCGCAACAGCCCAGATGCTGCAGCTGCCGCCGGTGGCCCTCAAGGCATCCCGGGAGCTGAAGGGCTGGGACTCGGGGGCTTCTTTTACGGGGTTTAGGGGCTTGCTAGATTGGGTTTAGGGTTTAGGGTTTAGGGTTCAGGTTTCAGGGGTTCAGGGTTCAGGGTTTAGGGTTTAGGACTTAGGGTTTAGAGCTTAGGGCTCAGGGTTTGGGAGCCCTAAGCCGTAAACCCTTTACCCTGAATCCTGTCGATGTTTTGGAGCACTGCAGATAGGATGACCAAAGCTCAGGCTACCCACGCGGAATTGAGTCGATGGCCGAAACCAAGTCAACAAGGTAGGGTCGTGCCAGATTTCACAGGCCTTCCCCTTGCTTACGGGTTTAGGGCTCAGGGTTTAAGGCCTACGAGAGTTGCTGACAGGGCCACGTTAGACCCTAAACCTTAAACCCTAAACCCCAAACCCTGAACCCTAAACCCTAAACCCTAAACCCGAAGCCTTCGGATGCGTCCAGCCGCTGCCGCCACCCTCGCCTGTGGGCGGCTCACCCTTCAAGGGTGTACTCGGCCGCGACCTGAAGATCTTCACGTGGTGTCACTAGGTTTAGGGTTTAGGGTTTAGGGTTTAGGGTTTAGGGTTTAGGGTTTAGGGTTTAGGGTTTAGGGTTTAGGGTTTAGGGTTTAGGTACTACTT